GATTATAATCTATCGAAGTGAAATCGTCAAATTGTGAAACGGTACGCACCTCGCGCGCTGATTGGTCGGCTTTATAGTAGACCGTTATATTATGTCCATAGAGTTAGGAATGAAACAAGGGTATCGGTCAAATAAAATGAATGCACTTCAAAAATTAGTATTTATTATATCAATAATTCTGACATCACATGATGAAAAGAAAATATACTTATCAAAATAAAAAAATCAGAAACGTAACAATATTTTCTCTTCAAACACAAATTAAAATTGATAAATTAATGAAATTTTCTTTTAGAAAAAAACGATCACAAAATAAAATCAAAATTTAAAAAAAAAACAAATCGAAAACATACGAACGTTTTTGAAAACATAACAAAATTGTCTATTATATAAAAAATAGAAAGTAAATTGCATCAATAAAAATTTTCAATTATTGTTGCACGTCAACGAGTTGTGGCACCTGGAGTTACAAACTTTCTTTTTATTTTTTTGCAATTAAATTTTTTACTATTTTCATTATGCCCGCTGTAATAGTGTTGTAACTCTATGGTAAATTCTTCCTTATTAACAATACCTAATATTTCTGAGTTTTGTTGATCGACAGGCTCAATATCCGACATTGTAAATACGAGATCACAAAGGTTCACGCGAATAAAAAATATTAAAACACGGAAAATGTATGTAATTTAGACTTTGTTTGGAGACCAACACTAACTTAATTATCATTCAAACTGCACTTCTTTGGTCAATCACAGATTAATTTTACTTCCACAACATTTTCATATAACTTTTCACGTTCACTTTCAACATCCTAAAGCTGTGAGTTACTTTCAAGACGACATCAATTTACATTCACCAAAACACCGTTTGTTTACATTCGACAACAAACGAATTAACAAACAAATATGGTCGCCACCATGGCATATTCCGTTCAACCAATCAGCGCGCGAGGTGCGTACCGTTTCACAATGTGACGATTTCACTTCGATAGATTATAATCTACCGAATAATAATACGTTAAATTGTAAGCAATACGTTGAGTTCACAATTTTTCGACAGTTTACAATCTCGCGAGATAGATTACAATCTAACGGTTTTTACAATTTTACGTTGACATATATATCTCTACTGGAAATGCATTAAAGCACATGAAAATCCTTTATGGTAAAACTTGCCCATCAAATGTTATTACAACTGATTCAGAGGGTTTCTAAGAAACCGAGTCATTAATTTTCACCTTGCGATTCAAACGTCTTATTTTAAGTATTTTGCCGCATAGGTACGGAAACATTTTGTTGTACTTCCTCTACACCACAATCTACAGGGACACCGCGAACTAGACCCATTCTTGTTACGCTGAAAGTGGGAATGAAAACGCTGAAACTTTTTCGTTTCCAAAAGATTGCAGTTAAGAAAACTATTGCCGTCTTTATAATCGGAAAAGCCAACTACGCACCTGTTTCTTCCTATACGCTTTACACTTCCGGGAATAATATTATTAAATTTGTTCAGCTTTAAAAAATTGCCAAATGTCATAGGATGGAGAATGGTCCCGTCGTCAGGTGAACTTTGTATAAGTTGAACATGTATTAAATAAGAGGAAACATCAGTACGGCCAATCGAACGGGAGTCCGTATTGATTACTGTATTTGTTTGAATTTCCCGCGTTAGAGTCTTGAGTGATATTTGAATTTTCCATGTAAGATGTTGATGGTTGAGAGGATGTGTTATGTGAATTGTTATTATTTTGCGAGTGTGGAGATGACGTGGATTGAGATATAGGTTTACAAGTAACCTTTTTTATTAAAATTGACTCATCTTCTACATTGCATAAGCTTTCGCACTGACAGTAATCACCGCTAGAACCACTACCTTTCTTTTTCTTAATTTTCGTACACTGCCGACAAAGGCGCAAATAACGTGTTCGTTTACGACTTCCTTCACATGTCTGAGATGATAACGAACAATCCGTATTCATTTTGTCGAATTCATCTTGTGAACCAACAGATACGTTTGATCCCATAGGGAGATTCAAGCCAACATGGCCATCATCCATACGTAGTTGGTCCCAAAGTTCTGTCACTACACATTATTTCTACATTTCGAGCAGGATTTTATAAAAAAATTATTGCATTCTATTTTGGAATGTTTGATTATTGTTTTAAAACAAAAAACAATAACTTTCCGTAATTTTTCACGATGGAGTGGACTTGAAAGTAAACCGAATAGTTGTTATTGCGTTGCACCGCTGTGGACACTCGCCGATACCATTTTCAAGTTGCTCAAAAATTTGAATATAACGCTTAGGTTTGCGTACGGTACTATTGATAGGTACCTTGAAGTCTCAGTGTTGAGGACAAGAAAAGAACTGGCTGGCCACGCTCCCAAGAACACCAGCAGTAATCAAAGCTATCAACCGGATAGTAAGAAATCCTGTCCGAAAACAGAAGTTGATGGATTTCGATGGGTGTCAGTAGGAAAACAGTAAAAAGGTTTTAAATGAAGATCTTGGTCTACGAGTACAAAAAAAGAGTGGGCACTTACTTAATGCTCGTCTAAAAGCAATAAGGCTTAAGAGATCGCGGGTGTTGTTTAAGCGGTACGCGAAAAACCGACACCGTGATATCCTCTTACGGACGAAAATTTTTTCGATATTGAAGAGAAGTACAATAAACAGAATTATACAGTTACCTAGGAGTTCTGAAGAAGCTGAAAATAAAGTTCCAAGGGTCACATGGACATCATCCATTCAGTATGGTTTGGTTGGGAGTGTCCTATACGGGCTAACTGAGGTTAATTTTTTTCGAAAAGGGGGTCAAAACCAGTGCTACAGTGTACCAAGAGACGGTTTTGTTCGCCTTGTCAAAGACATGTCCAGCACCCTATTTGCGGGACATCACTTCGTGTTCCAGCAGGACTCTGCGTCTGCATACAAGCCAAGACCACTAAAGCCTGGTTTGAGCGTCAAAACATCGTCTTAATTAGACATGAGGATTGGCCTTCCTCCAGTCGGACCTTAATCCTTTGGACCAGAAATTATGACAGGGCTTAGAGAGGAAGGTCTGTATAAACCTCATGAAAATTTGGAGAATCTGAAGTCATCTTTAAAAAACCAGTGACTGAAATCGACACGAATATGGTGCGTGCGCGATAGACGACTGGCCCGACGCTTAAGGGCCTGTATTAAAAATGAGGGAGGTTATTTCGAATATTTTTATGCTTTTTTATTCCTTAATTAATGTACTAAGAATTGATATATCACTCATTAAAACTGATCAGTACTTTTGTTTTTATCATTATTTCCATTTATGACAGAACTTTGGGACCGACTACGTACAATATTTACAGAAATTACAAAAACTTACCGACTACACAATGACACTATACACAAAAATGATATTAAAGATTACATATAATACAAAAATTAAAACTACCAGCATATCCTCTGCGTTTTAACTAGTAAAATTAAATTAAATTTTCACCACCGTGAAAAAATATGACTGTCAGTCTAGCATGAACGAAGTTTCCCGCGCCTTTTGTCTTTAAATTCATTTAAAACATGTTGGCCTTTGGATTATTTTTTTAGGACATGTCCAATAGAAAATGTACAAAGTAAAGAATGTTTTCACCAAAAATTCGTACACGTACGTACATGGCAATAGAATTTGCAAAGAGACTGGTTTATGGAACACAAAAGTCAAAAACTGATTTAAATATTTATCTACCCCTTTTATACATATAAGATATATTTATTTATTTTCATATCAAACAAAACCAAAATTTTGTAGTAAAACAATGTATGTTTCATAAACACAATAAAGGTAACTCTAAACATGCTTTTTATTAAAAATAATTACAATCAAAACCGTTTATAACGACATCGTTTACAACGACCTATCGGTTATTACAACCAGATTGTATGGTCCCGTCCGAATCCCTAGTAAACTATTCAGTAAAGAAACCGCTTATAACAACATCGGATACAGCGATATATCGCTTACAACGACGAAAGTTTATCGATATTCATCGGCTATAACGACCAACCGCTTCTTGTCTCAGCAACAAAACAATACAAACGATTTTAAATCTTATTTATAAGCATTGAATGAATATTTAGGCATATTATTACCTACGCACTTTCTCCCAACGAACAGTTTCAGCCAACAACGATTCCCGAGGCCCTTAACGCTGTAACGATGTTGCAAAAATTTGTTGCCTTTAACGAACAGTTTGATACTGGTGATACTCATACCTTGAGGAGTATGAAACGTAAAATGCAAAAAATATTTGAGACTGGGCTAAAATAAATATAGTTTAAAAAAACTAAAAAACACGCTTTTAAAGCACAATTTAGGCGGAAAATGGTAATGAACAAAAAATACTGGTATTATTGTGAAAAAGCGTGGGCGCGCTCTGTGCCATATTTTTCCTCTATCGAGCAACCCACGCTTTTTCACAAAAATACCAGTATTTTTTGTTGTGTGAATTATTTTCCACTTTTTAGTCCTAGCAGCAATACGTGTTGTCTCAATTTAATCGTATTGCTTTGTGGACTTTAAAAAAATGTCATTGTTTTTTCGAGATAAACCTATGAAATTATTATATTGTCGCTGATTCTTTATAAATGTACAAAGTTTGAATTAAATCTGTCCGTTTAATGTGGGTCAAAATCGAGTCCGAAGGAGTCGGTTACATACATACATACATACAGTTGAAGCTAATATAAAGCGTGTAAAAACAGACCAAAATGACTGATTACTTTTGTACCTAATTATTTCGTAATAAATATTTTTGTTTCTTTTTTGACTCGTTTACATATTATAATATTAACATACCATATTATATCCCATACCTACCTACCTATTCTAGATCGATAACTATGTTCATACATATGTACTGTACTTGTGTATATGACATTGCTTATAACGACTATCGGATATAACGTCGGCAACTATATGGTCCCTTCAATGTCGTTATAACCGGTTTTGACTGTATAGAAGTTAAACATCATCATCACTATCCGAAGACACTTCAACCACAAGAAATGGATTGTCGATTTCAATGGTAACTGTAAAATTATCTCCCAAATCTTCCAGTTGTTTAGATAATGGTTCCATTTTAACTACACATTCCTTGACATTAACTTGTTCACCATTGTGTGTATCATCTACGCTATCAGTCTTTTCAATTTTCACTTCTTCTCTTAGTTTTCTGAAAAATTCTTCATTCCTTAGCATGTCTTCTTCACATAGGACAACAGAATCTGCGTCGCTATCACTTGTCGCATTATCGTTATTTACTATGTTCTCTGTATGTTTTTTTCGTTTTTTTAGGGCTTCAGTCTCCATTTGAGCGTACCTGGAAACATAAATTATTTTATTTTTGTATTCAAAATATTTTTGTTATTCAAATATTCGTAAATAATATCGCTTCTTAAGTATCATTTTTATTTGTGATATGTCTGGTAAAATATTCATGTCGCATTCGTGTTTTGTCTCAAATAATAAGATATACTTACAACCCAAGTCCCCGCGACTCCGAGTTCTATTCGGGAAGTAAAACAATTCTAGTGTTTCATATATATTATAGGCAACCAAGCAGTATCACCAGATGTTAAGTGATACCGCCGCCTTCGGACACTTACACTGCCAGTTCCCGAATGCGTTACCGGACGCTATTCTAGCTATTCTGAAAGGACAAGTCAATGATCTGTCCTCATCGGCCCTAAGGGCTTCAATACTTACTTCTCGATAATGTTCATTTCCCTCTTTATGGCCCACTGCTTGTTTGCATCCAGCTTGGCCATTAACTCTGGATCATGCAGCGCTGGATCATCTTCATGTTCCTTCTTCACATTCGCGAGCAAGTCCCTCCATTCACGTCTCTGACGCAACTTTTGCAGGGCCCGACCGCATTGCGTAAATAGTACTCTGGCTGCAATTATAAATGTCATCGGCACATGGCAGGCGATTGGATTTCACAAAAACCTAAGGCTGATATTCAGAAACGAGACTTAGCGGAAAGTATATTAAAATCCAATACATTTTTGACTTTTATGTCAGACTTAGCGCAGAATCTTACCCTAATAGTGACCCTGCATCGATAACTTTATTTAATTTCCATGTAGTTAGACAGCGCGGTACGGAAACTATACATTGAAGTCGGGATGTTAATCTATTGAAAGTTACCGAGTAGGTATCTACCTAAGCAGGCGACTGCCTATGAGGTGCTGTAAAACCTGATAATGAAGACGCCCTACATTCCACTAATAGGCCATAGTCTAGTAAGATGCAGGCATCTTGGGCCTTTGCTAAGGCAGAATTTAAATTTCAAGTTTAGGCAATTTGAAAATAACTTGGTTAATGCCTAGTTATAGATTTCTAAAGCCTGGATTAATTTAGTCATAAAGAAAATAAAAACTATTCACTGTAATTATTAGTTTATTAATAAATATTTTATAATTTTAGCAAATATTTTCTCTTTATCACAGCAAAACAAAAATTTCACAGAAAGACACGAAATAGTTGTTAAAAGAGTAGATAAGAACAGAGGCGGCCTTACACATTGCGAGGCTCCGGACAGCAGGTCTTTACGAGGGCCTTTGTCCTTCGTGAAAAGTATATGATGCGAAAGTAGGTCTGGTTGTTTAACTAACTTTATTTTAATTTACCGTAATGTTATTACCTTAATAAGTAACTAAGGATCAAATTCTAAAGTTTTAACTTAAAAAAAATAGTCCAAACAATCGATATTTTTTAAATTTGCTTGGGTTGTTGCGCGAGGCCCCAGGCGATTGCCCTGTTCGCCACCCCCTAAGGCCGCCGCTGGAGAAGAATAATAGACAATGGGCTACTTCACAGTATGAAAATTAATATGTGAGAGTAAAAAATATAGATTTACTGGTGCGGCATCATTAGAAAAGCGGTGGATGGAAGGTTCTTGAAATTATAAATGTTTGTTTTACATTTTTAAAGTCAACAAATAATCTGAATAGTTTTTCATACATACCTTCTTTCATAACTTTTGCAGCATCCCATCCTAATTTATGAATGTCATTTGCTAAAACAACACATATTTTAACATCATTGAAGTCAGGAAATAAGGGATATCCATTACTTTGTAAGTTATTGTTAAGGAATCTTTCTAGAATCTTCACTGGTGCTTCCACATGCCCTTCCAAGACCCTTAGTCGGACTTCATGCTTTTTCACTAAAGGCGACTGAGTCAAATGGCATAGCTGTTTGTACAGGTCCACAACCTTTTCCTTATATCTGTAATTTCCATTATAGAATTTATGAAGCTTTGATAATAAATCAAAGACAACATTTTAAGCTGTCTTGTGTGTGTAATGTGTACTAAACCAATACAATTTTGTTTTGGAGGGAATTTAAACATTGTTGATAATAATAAACATGAGATATACTCATAAAAAAATTTTAGTTTAGGGCACATTTATTAGTTCCTTTCTTTAATATTCATAATCAAAAGAGCTTCAACAATTAACATTTTAAATCCTGATCTAATTTTAATAAAAATACCTTTTAAAGAAACAGCAACATACTGAACACTATCTATGATTGCCAAGCTACAAAACGGTAACTTAATAGCAAAAAAAGATATATCTGGTCTATATTAATTGCAGTATCGGGTAATATAATATCACTGGTGTGGTTAAGCCTCGGTATGATGTAAATAGAGTGATTTATTAGGAACTTAGGGTGGATATTGTAAAATAATGTACCTACAACTCGGATAAAACATATGGTGAACAATGGTTATCTTGAATAACCTCTGTCTCCTCCAACTGTTTGATTATTTTTTCTAACCTCATAATTTCAAATTCCATAGATGCAATTTTTACTTGCTCATCTACGCTAGGTAACTCAACTCTTTGAGCAATTAATAAATTATCTTGACTGTTATTTAACGGTTCCCATGATGTTGTAGGTTTATCACATGTGAAGTTATGTGACAAATTTAATACACCATTTTGAATTTCTTGTGTGTCATTTACATTGTCTATTGTGTCCAGAGCTGTTAGATCTGACGAAGTTGCTTGATGCTCAAGCTGTAATGCTAAACTATTGGATTGATTTTCTTTTTCCTCATTTACTGCCTCATCCAGAAGTATAACGTCATTTTTATCTCCACATTCTCCAATACTATCCTCATCAATAACATGTATCTTTCCATTTTCCATGTTATGGCCATTATTTACTCTGTTTCCTGTAAACAGAACATAAATAAATCAACATATACATACTCAAATAGCAAATATATAAAAGACATGATGGACACCATGTTTTTTAAATCTATCATCACTGGACTAAATTGATTTTAAAATAAGACTTACTTTTTATGTTTGAATCTAGGGTAATGAAACTTAGTCGTTTTTTCTTTTTGTTCCTCCTTAAATTTTCACATACTGATTTTATGTAAGAAAATTTAAATCTGGGCTTCTTCTCTATCATTACACTACTTCTTTGGAGTATTTCTTGAAATTCTATGCTATTTAAATAATCTGGCTTTGCTTCTTGGTATAAAGGCAAAAGTGATCTGTTTATAACTCTAAGCATACCTTTAGAGTTTTCGGCTTTAAGACATATTTGTATTAATTTTTTTAAATGTGCATCATGTATAAATTCGAAGTTACTGTTTTCATCTTTATTTAGACTTATAGGTGAACGCCAATCGACAATTTCGACATCCTAAAATTGTGTCATGAATTTATAAAATAGTTAATATTGTAAATGGGTTGTAAATAAACAAATACATACGCCAGCCTCGTCTGATGATAGATTAATAATGTCACAGGCATTTTCTAAACTACACATTTCACATAATTTATCAATAATAAGGTAACCGACGTTCGTAGTTCCGTTATCCTAGAGTTAAAATACAACAAAAGTGAGCACGACTGAACCTGTGAAAGCAAGGCACAACTCAAGAGCACTAACGGAATAAAAGGTAATTAAAATCTCATATGTTAATTGTTATATACGACTATACGTCTCCGACAGAAAGGACATAGGATTATAGAAGACTAAACAGTAAGTAATCATAATATCTAATACGCTAGTAGTACAAAAACAAACTTTGATTTTTGTTTAGAAATTTCAACTTGAAAGTTGAAACTAAAGTTCACTTCACTTTATTTATAATGGCGACATCTGTGTACAAGTCGTCGGAAATATCTGCGAACCTGGCTTAATGACGTCATACAAACTGGAGAGATAGCAAAAAAATTGAAGATGTAAAAATAAAAAATATTTTATTTGTGTACTTATTTTTATTGATACTCGTACCTACTTGAAATTTACAAATACTTATTATTTACATTATTTAAAATTCAAATTATTTACAAATTTACAAATAATACAAAGAAAAAAGTAGAGAGGAAGAGAAAGTGGCGAAACTATTCTAGAAAAGCCTCGACACCAGACATGGTAGCGCTGTCGTTTTCGTCATCTTCTATATTATCACTCAAAATGTTGTCTTCGGTTTCGCTGTCACTGTCTTCTCCTCCTAATGAAATTATTAATTCGCGTTCTTCATGTTCATATAATCTGTCATTATGCCAAAACTTATCTCTTAAGCGATCAACATGGTTGCATTCTTTTTCCAATCTTCCGGGGTTATACTTTGGATCGCTGCCTTTGTTAACCTTTCTATATCTTTTTCTGATTGGTCAATATTTTTGTCTGCCACCCTTTGTTTCATCAAATTCCAAATATACTCAATAGGGTTGAGATCACAGTGGTAGGGTGGCAGACGTAATACCTCATGTCCATGAGCTCTAAATATTTCATCGATGAAATATACCTTCTCAGGTTTATTTCTTTGAATCAACATATACAGTTCTCTTTTAGTCATTTTGTCATCAAATTCGATGTTGTGTTCTTGCAGCCATGTTTGCATTTCGTTTTTACGTGCACTGAAATTTGGCGGCTTATTTGCCTGCTTACTGTGATAGGGCGCGTTGTCCATGACAATTATTCCGTTGGGTGGAAGGTTCGGTATCAATTTCTCTTTAATCCATTTGGTAAAATTGGACGCATCCATTTCGTCATGGTAATCACCGGTTGTTGATTTACACTTATATAGGAGCTCGGCTCCTTGTATGAAACCGTTCTCATTACCTGCGTGTACCACAATCCAGCGCTGACCAGGAGAGTGATTTATTCGGACACTGGAATCACTACTATTTTGCCAACATTTTGAGACAGTATAGTGTGAATGTATCCAGGTTTCGTCGATAAATGTAACTGGTTTTTTTCGGCACCACGTTCGTCATTTTCTTTCAGTCGCCTTAAATATTTTGCTCTCCAGGCTGCTATTTCAGGTCTTTGCACCAAAAAATCGCGTTTTCGTTTACATTTTTTAAAGCTGTACCCCAAATCATTTATTAGTATGTTTCTTAGGGCGTCTTTTTGGCCGGGAAAGTTGAGCTCCCGTTTTGCTATTGTAAGAATCTTTTTTTAAAGTAGGTATTTCTTTTCTTGTGGTATAAAAACTTTCAACCAAAGAGCGTATCGCGCATAAATCAAAATTATCTAGATCTATTTTCTTTTGTATTTTTTTACGCTTTTTCCCTGGTGTCGAGAGCTTGATAGTGTCCGTGGCAACTGAAGCTGAAGTACTAGGTTGTGGATGCTCACCATCTTCGAAGGACGTCATGTCTTCCTGAACATTCGCTGCTCGCGCTGTTTCTGTTTGTATTTTTTTTGCTTCACGTTTTATTGTCATTATTGTCGTTTTAGATAAACCAGTTGCAGCACAAGCCCTTTTTGTTGCTTGTTCAACCGGCACAGTGAAAGAGCCGTGTTTTTTTTTCATTTTCAAAGAATTGGATTACTTTGAGCACTAAATTCCGCTCTGCACTATGTATAGTCCTACCCATCTTACATACAGCACTAAATAGGTAGTTTATGTAATATTTCACCAAACAGAGAAACAATAAACACTAAAATGCGATTACGAAAGCAAGAATAATACACGTGCGTCGGCGATTGCGTTGGCAACGGTACTGGATAGGCGAAAACGGGGCGGGGTGCGGGGAAGCGCCAGGGGAAGCGCATTCCAGCGAGGTTCGCAGATATTTCCGACGGCTTGTAAATCACAATTCCGCCAATGTCACGTTCTAAGTCTTCACACAGTGAGGATAGATTTGATAATTTTGATAGATTGAATTTTATCTAAGCAGAGTTACCCAAAACAAAAATGACATCACAATAAATACAACACACACAGACATCTAATAATATATACAAGAGGTTAACATTTTACTACAAGGTATGGAGGGGAGAATCTTATTTATAACTTTAATTTATTAACAGAAATAAATTTCCCTAAAATTTTGACGATCGAGCTGGATGGGAGGGAAAGTAGGGAGTTAAGGTTACATGGACTAGGGAAATCTGGAGAAAGATGGTCAAATAACGAGTCATAATTAAAGAACAGTTAAAAAATATATGGTCTGTCGAGCCCTCGTCCATACCACCAGTGTTGCCAGATCCAAATTTAATTTTCCGGGAGGTATATCTATAAAAATCCGGGAGTCTTATGGTAAAATTACAAAAATAATCGGGAGAGTTTTAATACATATTTTTATTAAGTTTCTGTAAAATTTGGTCTTTAATTTCGAAATTGAAGCAATTAGAATTTTTCAAAATGTTTTTTGTATGCAGGACTCCCGATATTACCGGGGTAGAGAGTTGGTTCCGTAACTTTGTTTTCGTTAAATTTATTTGCGAAAACAGCCTTTCCACAGATGCACTTGAGTGTGGCAAGCACATAAAACTCAAAACTGTCAAAGTTAAATTTGGAAACATTTTTCTGCCATCACCCAAATGCATCTGGGCTATCTTTTTCCAGAAAGCTCCTACTTCTAAATTTTCATCTTCAGTATTTAACTTCGTATTCCGAAGAAGCCGCCATTCGGTGTCAATCTGTTGAATAACATTTGAAGGTGCTATATTTGGGAACCTTCCCAATATGTCAGCGATGGATAGTATTTTGCCACTACAAACTATTTTTGGATCCATAAATTCCATTTTTTTCAAAATTTCCATATCGTCTTCAAATGGAAATCGCTGTAATAGTTGTTTAATTGCCTCAATGTAAAACTCTAAACAGCGGAACTTGAATTTTTTTATTTCTTCGGGACTGATTGTTAATGTTGGTGAAGATAATGTCGCCCCTACTTCAGCGCCTAAATACCAATCTTTTATATCCATGTACTTTCTGGGATTTTTATTGTCGATGTTTTTGTGATCATTTCTTGAAATGTATTCTTCTTTCACATAACATCCCAAAATTGTGTAGATTACGGTCATCACCCTGTTGTAAATTATGTGTACATTTGTATTTTCTGATTGCATGGTTCTGTTTAGTTCGTTGAATATTCCTAAGGCATACGCCATAAATTGCAGATATAGCTTGTTCACTGGATTTTCTATCATTCTCAATATGTTTTCTGCAGCTTTAATACGGTCGCTGAAAATAGCGTCCCTAAAGTACAACTTTAAGGCTTCGTATTGTTCTAGCAACCTCTTTACTACTGCCTCTAAAGAGAGCCATCTTGTTTGAGAAGGTTGCAGCAATTTGTGTGGTTTTAATTCCAAAAAATCTTGGAATTCTTTCAACAAGCCGGTACGTTTTGGGCTACCATTCAAATAGTTATACACATCCCGTGCTAGATCTTCGGGTTCTCGAGGCAATTTTAAGCAAGCGTTTGACGCTACAAGATGTACAGAATGGCATACACATTTCATAACGAAAAGGTGTGGTATGTCTTGTTTGAACTTCGTTGCAAGAGAATTGTTCTTTCCCATCATTACGTTGGCACCATCTGCGGCCAGCCCTATCATATTTTTTTTATAAGGAATCCCCAATTCTGTCATTTTTTTTGTAATTACTTCATGCAATTTTTCGGCGTTACCTTCAAGAATTTCAAATAATTCAAAAAAAAAATCTTCCACCTGAAAAAGAATAGGGTTTAAAAAGTATACAAAAGTAACATATTTGAAATGTAAACTTTACATTATAAACATAATATTTACCTTCAGATTATTTCGAGCAATCCTCACAGTTACTGCCAAATGCTTTTTTGTACTTTTATCAGTACTTTCATCAGCTGTTAATGAAAATTTATTTGTCTGCATGGCTTCAACCATGATGTCAACGTCACTTCTTCCCAACACCTCCGAAATAATTTTTGTTGTTTTAGTACGTCCACAGGTAATCCTTTTTGCAACTTCAGAATCTGGGCATACTGCTCTTATTAAATCTGGGAAATGTTCCATCACATTGATCGGAATATTATGTTCAACTATGAATGCGGCGATTCTAATTTCTGATTGTTTTACTAGTTTTTCTAACGATGTAGATTTTTTTGTAAACATCTGGTCTAGACTCTGTTGACCTCGAATTTTCAGCTTATTGCTTTCGTGTTTTTTTGTCTCTTTATGTCTTTTAATATCATTTTTACCCCCTCTCGTTATATTTATATCGCAAGAGCACACTTTACAATAAGCGAAATCTGGACCTGAAAAGTATATTTTTTAATATAGCCTAAATATCGCAACAAAAATGCGTTAATTTCTCAAGACAAAAACTCCCGTACTTTAAGCATACTTTTTTAACCTGGCAACTTTTAATAGGCCGCCGTCAAGAAGCTAGCCGCCGCGTCATCGACTATGACATTGACGTTAAGCAGCGTGCGTGAGCGTTTTGCATCGTCTATGTTTGCATCCAATCCAATACATATACACTACACGCACACACACAATTTTACATGTGTATGCACACAAATCCAGGAGTTTTCCTGATAACCGGATATTAACGAATGAATGGGTTTTTTGTATTCAAGTTTTTATCGGCGAGTAACTAAAAAAGGCTTTTATTATTTATCGCTTACCTTTATTACTTTTTGATAACCATCCCTCAAACAGATCATCTTTTTCCCAATCCGGCTTATAGCTGACACTGTACTTCTTTTTCTTTGGAGGTGTATTTTGCACCTCTTTATCACTCTCAGAACTAGACATTCTAAATTCTGATAATTTTTTACAGCTTTAAAACTTGTTTATAACACTTTAAAACGATATTTAGTCCGAGATAACAAAAACAAAGCGATTGCAAAATGCAAGCAAACAAAACTTTGCTCACTTCACTTCACAGACGCAATCTAATCTAATGCTGTTGATTTAAAATACCTTACTAATACTATTACTATTACTAAACTGAACTATGTCTCCTAATTTGGTCGTATAATAATTAGAGAAACCGGTTTGTCTATGTTCTCTGAATTCCAAAGGTTTGCTGTTTTATATTCAACTTTATTCCATTCCATCAAGGCATACTTTACGCTACATACTTTACAAACTCATTACTTTTGTGATTCGTTCGGTGGTTCGGTGATTCGTTTCACGCAGTAGAGGCAGTGTTTTTAGTAACTTGAGTTGAATCTGTGGAACAGTAAATTAAAATCGGGAGGTTTAATTAAGGATCCGGGATATCGGGAGACATTGAGTAAAATCGGGAGAACTCCCGGAAAATCGGGAGACCTGGCAACACTGCATACCACACTCACAGAGAGAACTGTCTTTAATTTTAATTTTGGCTAGATGAACGGGAGTACAAGCGTGCCCTATACGAAGACGGCAGATTATAGACGTGACCTTTTTGTTTAAAAACTTATATTTAAAAAACCACGGCGAAGAAGGGATTGAAAACTGAATATTAGCATAGTGCCTGCCAGTTTTTACTTTAGAAGATTGCCAATCAATAGTCCAGGATTTTAAAAGGTGGGAGTACGCAAGAGCTGATAGGTCGTGGGCCGAGATGTTGGGATGCTGACAAGATCCGCAGAAAATAGCACCTTTTGTACAAAAGTCAGCAGTTTCATTACCCGCTATACCACAATGACTAGGTATCCACAAAAGTACAATATGAATATCTTTTTTACTACACCTAAACAAAGCTTCTCTTATTTTTAGAATCGTATTATGTTTTTTTTTTTAGACCTGAATGGATTGGAAAGAATTGCCTGTAAACAGCTGCGAGAATCGGAAAAAATTGTAACTTTATTTAGGTTGTGGGACTCAGCATACAAAACCGCTTCTAGGATTGCAAAAGCTTCACCTGAAAAAACGGAGGTCAATGGAGGAAGTTTAAAGCTCAATACTGTTTTGAATGAAGGGACCCATACAGCCGCACCGATGCACTCATTATTGGAAATCTTGGAAGCATCAGTATACATCGGTAACCAACCCTGCCAGTCTTTTGAAATTTTTTCCAGAAAACAAGTGGAAGCTTGGGTAGATTTTTTTTCAATTCCAAAGTTTAAAATTATTTTAGGATCAAAAATGAGGGATTCATAACTATTTAAAAACAAGGGGTTACTAGGGAAACTTTCAACAGGATTAGGAAGACGAGAAAGTTTATTAAAACTGTGTAACAGGCATGGAACATTATTTGTACTAGATGGCATCGTGAGATTAGATAAGCGACGTAATTTGGACAAGATGGAATGTGAAGAGAATTGAAGGACTTTGATGAAGAAGCGGTCACTTAAAAATTGTCTACGTAAATACAGGGGGGGGTCAACACATTCTATTTGGAGAGCATTGATGGGAGAGGATTTCATAGCACCAAGGATGATGCGTAAAGATTTCGATTGAATTTTGGAAATTTTATCAAGGGCTTGCTTGTTGCCAGGATCTAAAAGGAAGGTGCCATAATCAAAATGACTTCGTACCACAGCATTGTATAAAAGCTTTTGCGAGTAGGGGTGTGCTCCCCACCTCACACCAGATAATGAACGGAGAACATTAACACCCTTCTCACTTTTTTTAATCACATGGTTAAAATGAGGAACACCGTTTAACTTTGAGTCTAAAATAAGGCCTAAAAATTTTACTTGCTTACAACACGATACCAAGGACCCTTTATATGAAATGTTACACCGTGGAACCTTGTATTTTGTAGTAAACGTGACCGCCGAACATTTGGGCACAGAAATAGAGAGACCATGATCATTTAACCAATCACCCAAATAATCCAAAGCCGAATTTAGGCGTGATGATGCCTCTTCAATAGAATTTGATGAAAAGTATAAGGCTACATCGTCCGCGTATTGAAGAATCTGACAGAAGGAATTCACAACAAGCTCCAGGTCATAGGTGTAAATGTTGTACAGAAGAGGACTCAAAACAGAACCTTGAGGTAAGCCCCTCCAAATAGATCTAGGAGACAGCTCCGTATTTTGAGATCTTATAATAATATAACGATTCGAAACTGCATTGCAAACAAAACGTACCAACTTCTCAGGAATACTCAGCTGAAGCATTTTTTGCCTGAGCACCGGAACCAGCACGTCATACGCAGATGCGATATCCAAGAAAACACCCACCAGGAACTGTTTCTTTTTAAAAGCAATGCGAATGTCGGTCGTTATTATACTTAGGCTATCCATCGTACTTAAGCCTTTCCTGAAACCAAACTGGGATTTTGCAAAGATATTGTTACTTTCACAAAACCATTCTCAACGAATTTTAATCAAATGTTCCATAATTTTTAAAAGGGTAGAAGACAAAGCAATAGGTCTGTATGAAGAGAAATCTGATGGATCTTTGCCAGGTTTTAGAAGCGGAATGATGATTTGTCTGTTCCACGATTCAGAATAATTCCAAGATCGAAAAAACAGTTTACTAAATCTAGAAAGTACCTCTTAGTGCCTAATGAAGAATTTATGAGGAATGAGTAAGGGATTCCATCTTCTCCAGGGGAAGAGTCAGAGAGACCATTTAATGCTTTGTTAAGTTCTTCCAAGGAGAATTGACAATCTAGACTGTTTGAAGAGGGGATGTAAGAATTATACTTATAAGGAAGACAATCATAAAAAGGGACTGATGGAAGAGCCAATTTGTCGGCAAAGGAGGTAATCCAGCTAGACGGATCATTAAAAGGGACATCATAAGAATTGAGGGAACAACGGAATCTTCTGATCTGCCTCCAAACAACAGACGAAGGGGTACCAGGGCACATGCTCTCACAGAACTTATGCCAACCAAGACGTTTCTTATTATTAAGAAGTCTGCGAGCAGCTGCAGAAGCTTGTTGGTAGACTAAAAAATTTTCCAAGGACATACAAAGACTGTATGACCTTTCTGCCGTTTTTCTTTTTCGAATCATCTCAGTACATTTTTAATCCCACCAAGGAGGAGAAATTTAAACTAAAGTTAGAAATTAGAAATTAGAATGACATTTGACAATGAAGTTAAAGGGGCTTAGTCAAGATGCTTTAACAGTAGTGACTACTGACTAGTGTGTGACTGTGAGTAGAAAGTCGAAAACTAAATTTGAAAAAAAAAATGTCAGTTCGCGTCGACAGTTGGTAAGCCCAAAAGGCGTGAGTCGTGATACAATAAGCGACAACATGACAGTGCTACGAAAATTTTGTATTGTGTTTGCCAATTAATGTATCAGCAGTGTAGAAAAAACAGCGTTTATCCGCCATGCTTTTCGTGATCTCAAAAGCTGCTGTTTGCTATAATTTGGGACTGATATCGCCATCTTTAATGGCTACGGTTTTAATATAAACATGTTATATTTTGGCCGTTTTGACGAAAAGTTTTTGAAGTGAAACTTTTTAAGGCGCATGAGGGTAAATTTCACAACATAAGTAGCCTAATGTAGCCGCAAAATAAAATTGTTGTGTATATTTAATTTTAACTTTATTTATACTAAATCCAGAACACCCGGAACAAATATCTGTAGAACGTACAAACATATTTTGTTCCTGAAAGAGTTCCTAGAGATTTCCTGCTGTAAAAAACATTAGTTCTTAAACTTACTTTTAAATGCTGGTATTTTTGAAGTTATACTTCTTTAGGCGCGTTATGAAAAATTGATGAGAGTGAAATTTTACGATGCGCGCGCACCGTGACACAAAATTATCAGAATGACCATTGACCATAATGACCTTTGCCTTTTTTTTTTTTTTTTTTTTTCCCCCCCCCCCTAGTACCTTTTAAACAAATAAAGGAGTTTTAATTATTTTTTCAAAGAAATTTAGCAATGCTTTTTCACAAAGACCTATTTATTGTTACTTAGTAAAAAAGGTTATGAAACATACCTAGTTATTGAATTGAATGAATAATATAATAAATAATAATAATTATTATTATTAATATTAATTAATAATTAAATAATATACTAAATATTAAATATTATTAAATTATTAACGTTAAATATTTATTATTAATTATTTAATATTTAAAGAAAATAAAGAAAGCCAAAGAAGTATAACTTCTTACGCACGTACATAAGTACCCGCACTCTTTTTTTCCCATTCTTGCGATAATGCTTCACATATTTGCCGTGTTTTTTCAGAAATTATGGCTTTGGAATTACCTGTTACACGCACTAGTTATGTTGAAGTTGAAGAACAAAGTGACAAAGCGAACGAAACGAAAGGCAGGCACAAAACATTTTCCCGAATTTAGTCAGTATAATATAGATGATTGCGGTAGTCACTAACAGCGATATAGATAGGTAAATTGCACAGTACTACCTCCTAAATTGGGTTTCATTATTTCTAAGACAAATTCTGAGTATTCCCCACCAGGAAACTTACTACTTTAATATCTCATACAGATACTAGAGTGACTATGATTTTTAATAAAAGTAGTTCATTTGCGATTCATGACATGTCCTTGAAGTAGCCTAGTAATAGGCGACCAGTCGCCTTTCAGATATTTTCATCGCCAATCTTCGTCCTGAGTAGCCTAAATGGCGATAAATCGCCTATTTTGACCACACTGCGAAGAAAGCGTTTTCTACAATTACGAAAAAGCGGTAGTGCACGTAGAATAGTTTTCGGTAGTAATACGGCTAGAACCCCTGATGACTGTTGACATTCAGACTTCAGTGCTTCATAGTCTGTACAAACGTGTTTGCAATTTGAATTTTTCTATTTACATTTATAAAGCCAAATAAAAGTTTGCTGAATTTTTTTAATTTTATGGTTTTCTTCGTCAATTTATGCGAATTATGAATTCTCTAACTAATGCTTTTCGAATAAGTTCCTGTGTCTTTGGAGGATACAAAAATATTCTCCCTGGAAGGTAATTGAGGTTACTTTTATATAAACACAATTCACCAACTTATCATTCTAACACGTCTTTTATTATTTCAATAAAATTTTCGTATTTTTACCATATCTAATGAAGGTATACTTGTTTCCTTGTAGATCGACATGGTTGCGTCCTATACAAATATGCTCGTATAAGAAAACAGCGGAAGAACGTCTGGGCATAGAAAAACCTAAACGACCTTTAACACCGTTCTTTAAATTTATGGCTCAAATGAGACCAGCCCTTTTAGCAAAGAATCCTAGCATTTCATCCAAAGAAGCAATAAGTTGGACTTCAAAACACTGGCAACAGTTAGATGTAGAGGTATGACTTTTCTGCTTTACATATAAAGTTAAATTGTTGTCATGACTCCTTTGTCTCATTTGAACTATAATATTACTCCAATTGTCATAAAAATAACTTTTTTATATGAAGGAAATTGCCTTTTGTTTCAATTATATCAATTTTTAATAATATTATTCACATGATTTCTTTGTGATTTTCATTTAAATTGTGATGTTAGTTTTTGCACTTTATTTTTTTTAATATTTGCTCTATACTTTTAATATGTAGACTAAAATCAATTATTGAATATTTTTTTATAATGGTTTACTTTTATAGACCAAAACACAAATGACTAAAGAATATGAGAAAGATCTTGAAGATTACAAAAAAATTAAAGAATTATATCAATCTTCGCTTACTGAACAGCAAAAGGAAGATATTAAGAAACTAAAGGAGGAAATGGCAGCTGCCAAGGAAAAGCGAAAATTAAAAGCTGTTAGTTTCTTATTTAATTTTTTGTTAAACTGTTATATTATTTTTTATAAATAGGCTTTGTGGTCTTATCCAAGATATGGATAGAACCACAAAGCGTAATGTTTTATACTCTGTTTACATTTAGTCCATTGCCATGGCAGGAATCAGCGCCATGAGGAATATTAAGTTTTTTTTTAAACATTTTGTTCTGTATTTAGTATTATATTTAATATAATACAGAACACTGATGTTGCCATCCATTGTCCAGAGTCAAATTGAAAATATGAATGATGCGGCAATGTAAACATTAATTTACATTGATAATGATGTTTCCACCGCAATATTTATAAATGATACATATTATTTGGGAAAATTTTCAGCTGTGCAAGTGGCAAAATGTAAACATGGTTGAATGACCAGCTTTGTATGTTTTATATTCTGAAACCTAAGTGTACACTATCTAATATTAAATTAAGCCTTATATTCACAACACAATATTTTTTCAGGAATATAAAGAATTAGGGCGTCCTAAAAAATCTATGTCTTCGTACATCCTGTATATGATGTCTAGAAAAGATACCTCACAGGCTAACGACTTTAAGAGTTATCAAGAAAAAGTTAAAGCTGACTGGCTTCAGCTTCCAGAAAGTGAAAGAAAAAAGTATGAAAAGCAAGCACAAGAGCAAATGAATAAATACAAGTATGTATAAATTAGTTATTAACATGTTTGTTTTTAAACTTAAACTTACTGTTTTTACCTCAGCTTAACTTTACCTAGCCAGAGTTAGAGAGATTGCTTTTATTTTTGTTACTATTATTAGAATATACAGTATGAACCGTTGTCAATTTGCATAAATCTATCCAAACTTGTTATGTCTTTATATTGTCATATTATATATTTTTGTTACTATCTAATTCTAGGGAAACATGAAATATTTTGTGCTTTTATGGAAGGTTAGGTTACATGAAAAAAACAAATTAGATTTTCTACTTTCATAGAATAAGGATATATAGAAATTAAGTTTAACATTTTATTTAGACTTCATTGTTAATTGTCATTCACATTTTTTTCTTAACTTTACAGGAAAGATTTAGAAGGGTGGGAAATGAAAATGATTTCCATTGGTCGTTCTGATCTAGTGCGTCAGAAACCAACTCCCAAAAAGAGGTCAAAAAGTATTAAGAATGAATAGGGACTCGGGTGCTCTGACAATTTAACTGATCAGTTAAAAGACAGTAATAAGTACAATGATCTAGAAACTACACCTAATATAAGTGATAAAAATAGCTCTATGGAAAAACCAAATAGTATTACCAACAGTCAAACAGAACAGTGTCAGAGCACGGGTGCCAGAAATGATTCCAAGCAGACTGAATCGAATTCAAGTGAGAATACAAATAAACAGTTTATTAGTAAGATTAAGCGCTTCTTTCAATTTTAGTTTTAGATTGACATGTTGCTTGTGTGTTTAAAGTGATAAAAGGTTCATTATGTAGTTGTTGTTTTATTTTCTTATTATTTTAACGGTAGAAATATACAAAAGACTTGGTTTCTCATTTTCACAATAGGTCATTACTTGGTATCATCACCATTTTTCATAGCTATAGAAAAATGAATACTATCTTAAATAAAAATGAACTCAACTGTTTCAGAAATATCCCAAAATAAGACTGATATGGCAGAAATGATATGGAAGCTCTTTAATTCCTATTATTTGTAGTGATGATGTGGAATTTCATAGTTTTTAAGATATAACATTAGGTTTGTGTAGACTGTAGGATCTATTTACATATTCTATTGTGTTTCAGATCTTTGAAGAATTATAAAAAAACTCAAGACTAAACTGTGAAAACCAATTTTTATTCTGAAATTTATTATATACAATTAAAAACATATATGATTTTTACACTAACAGTTACAATAATTATACCTTACTTGTATACATTTTTAAACAAAATATTAAAGGTGGTATTATAACAATTTGGATGTTATTGGTTCTGTCTTTGGTTACAATTTAATTTCATTCTTAAAACAAATTGTAAAATGCTGTTATATAATAAGTTAATCTATAAAATTTACTATTTTGCTTATTAAGCAAAATATAATTAAAACATCTGTTGTATGAAATGATGGAGCACACTTTTTTGTACAAATAATGTCAAAACAAGCAAAAAAAGAAGCATTCTTACAATTTTTATTTTTTCAGTCACAAACTGCCATACTCTTCCAAAATTATGGACTAATTATAGCCAGTTTTTTTACTACACATTTTCCTGATATGGAATATAGGCTCCAAATGATGCCTGATGAATGTGTAAATATTTTTTTTTAGTATATACATCCAAAATATTTAATGTAAGTATCTCATATTAATCAATCTATATCATGATTGTTTATATGAAGAATCCAAGACCAGTTATAAGTAATATAATGGTAACTAGAACATTGCAAGTTTTTTTTGTTCAATAAATTGTTAAATAACACACATATGAAACTATTTCTTCTGTAATTATATTAATAAACTATAACAATTTGCTAATGTAACAAAGTACAAAAATAACTTGGAGTGTTAATATATAAATGCATTGTTAATGTTATATACATAGAACCTGTACACACAACCAGCTTTCGTTGTGGTAAATAGAAAAATATCTTATATTAACAGCAATACAAAGACTATTTATGACTACAAAGGCAGTACTATATATCATTGTTTATATGGTACAAATAATTTTGAGTAGATTGTATATTATGTACAGACTTACAATTTAAACTAAGATGGCAATATGTGACTAAAATGCACACATGTCACATTATATCACTTACATTAAAGGCACAAGCATAAAAACAAACATTCCCAAAACCCTAGCTTACTAAATTAACTGCTCAGTCACAACACACAGGGTATGTTTTAAAAGCATATGATAAAGTTGTCTATATAATAAAAATTTCAGATATAAAAATATAAATAGCTTGTACACAAATAGTTGTAAACAAAAAGATGCAAGAATCTAAGCCAATGGCACTAACTATTTGTATTGCATTCAACATTTTTTGTACCCTATATGTTGAAACTCCTTTCAAGAGCATTAAGACATTGGCAAAACTGGAAGTACAATTCATTTGTTGAGAAAACCAATACATCTTTGTGCCTGCATATATAAAAACTGGTAGGAAATAATATGTTCCTTCTATGGAAATGATTGATAAGCTGTATAGAATTTGGATAATCAAAGATAAGATAACTATATCATATTTATAACAGACAATGTTATCCAATAAGGAAGATACCTGAGGAGTTTCGTTAATAGAATCATTAGATACATTTTGAGGCAATAAAGTCGCTAAGTCATTGATTACTTCATTCTGGTTCACTATGTCGTGTGAAGCTATTCCCAAACTTATGATGGGTGATACGGAAGAACTTGATACTCCATTTGATAACAGCGTCTTACTGCTACTAAATTCAGATGAGACAACATCCTGATAGTCTGGAATTGGAGAATGCACCAATGAATCTGAAAGGCAAACAAAGCACGAAAAAAGGTTACATTGGAGGGCTAAAGGTACAAGAAAATACAAAAAACACAATAGTTACCTTTACAGCTTTCATCGCCTGATTTCCCTGATATTCGTTGAAGTCTATTGTGAGAATTTTCCAATATTTTTCTCCTCCTTGCTTCACGACGTGCTAACGCTGCATCAGCCATATTAACAAATGTCAAATATGAAAAAATGGTTTTGACAAACATTTGACCTATGACATATTTCATGATACATTCGACGGCTTTCATTGTCAGAATATTTTTTTTATAATTGTAATAATATATGGTAAGTGGTAACACAGAATGTTAGAGTACGATTAGCGATAGCTCATAACACATTTTTTAGTCTGCGGAAAGAGTACATGGGATTTAAGTTTGCAGCAGTGCTAGATTACCTTCAATTTAATTTATAGACGCGTATAAAATAAAAATTATATTAGTTCGCATATCTGCAACGCGATTTTTCAGACTCCAAACGAAGATGTCACGCCCCTTTTGCTGTATTTCGCTTCGCTTCGGTGTCGTCAAGCTAATGTTTTATACATGTTTTTTTTTGTAGTAAACAATTATATATAGTTATGTATATATCTACTAATATATACAGTGTATAGAATCTGGCTAATGAAAGGAGATAACGAAAAAGCGCGGCAAATTAATTTTTTTTTAGTATGGTATCCCTAAAAGTTTGATATATTTTGTGGATTAAACTTACTTGATACTTGAGTTTATTTTATTATTTTTTTACATAGTTACTATAACTGTATTTCTTTGAAATTAAATACTATAAGTATTTAGTCTTTTACTATTGATACTAAAATGACTAGCATTGCATGGAAAACTAAAACTATATTTATTATAAAACACAACTTTATTCGGAATAATCAAAATCAGAATCCAAAAAAGTCAATAAAACAAAGTTTAGGCATAATATACCTGTTAACTATTCGGAAAAAATATATATTAGAGAAATAAAAATGTGTAATTGCATGAAGTATCATACAAACGAAATTCAATGACATTCTATGCTGCCATCCGAAAGTTTTCAAATAATTAAATTATCTTCTTTCATTAGCCAGACTATATTTCAATTTATTCAAGACAAAACTTTGTTATTTGACAGAGACAAGATTAAAGAGAACTTCTTAAATGAGAATGCGTATGAATTAGGTTTATTTTTGCAAAACACGTTAGAGCAAATTTTAATATAAATGCTTTGTAGATTATTAATAGGTTAGTTAAACAATATTTGCCTATTCTCTTTATTTAAAGAAAAGGGCGAGAATAAAACTAAAATCTCTGCTGTCATTATACCTACATACTTCAAGATTATTTAATATTATATCATACTGTGGATACATCTTTACATATTATATAGTATATACTTTATATATGCTTATAATCACCATAGAGTATTTAATTTTTAAACGTAATTTTAGCACTTGAAAGACGCGGAATTTAGAATCGTCATTTCCGTTTTGTTTCAATAAATTATTATACCCTCGTCGCTATATGTAAAATAACTTAATCAATTACTTTTAATTTGATTAATTGCCCTTATTTTGATTTTAAGATAACAACTAGATTGAAATTCTTTTTTGATTATTCTATTAAATACATTAAATAGAAAGTGTATCTATTAAACCGGAAGTTTATGTGCCATATGAATCCACCATTGACCATAATAACGCCAAAGAGAAGAGTGAAGACGTTTGTAATTTGTCTTTTGCTGTTTGGCGCCTTTCGGCTCTGAAAGCCCGGTGTAATTTTTTTGTAAATTAAGTTAAACTATCATCGCAGTGAGAGCTTGATAATATCACAAAATATGGGTGATAAAGGTGATGGAGGTAATTTATCTGAAACATGTAAATTATGTGTTTGTAATTTCCATTTACCTAGGCGCTTGACAAGAGCTGGCTTTGGTTTTTTTGGTTATCAAAAATGTCTATCCTTTAGCGTTAGATTTAGTTCTTCTTCGTTTCTTTCAGAAACATTTGATGATGCTGTCGAAGAAAGAGTTATCAACGAAGAATATAAAATATGGAAAAAGAACACACCGTTTCTTTATGATCTGGTTATGACCCATGCTCTAGAATGGCCCTCTTTAACCGCTCAGTGGCTTCCCGACGTAACCAGACCAGAAGGAAAAGATTACTCTGTACACAGGTATGACGAGATTTAATGAACTAGGCCATGAATAAGACCATCTAAACTTCTATCTTTTTAGGATCCCAGTCTATTGATTTTACTATCTTTTGTTTTTAGACTTATCTTGGGCACACACACATCCGATGAACAGAACCATTTGCTTATTGCAAGTGTTCAACTACCAAATGAAGATGCACAATTTGATGCTAGTCATTATGATAATGACAAAGGAGGTATGACAATAAACTATATTACACAAACAAATTTTAATGAAAATTATTACAGAAATTTTTTTTTTGGGCTAATCCTGCATTCGATTTTTTTAGGATGCAGAGTAGTTTATTACCACTGCATAGACTTTTGTCTCTTACATTTTTGTAACAGTCAAATAATTTCTTTAAAATTAAACGTAAGTTTCTAATGTTTGGCTATTAAATTAATATATTAACTATTTTCCTTTATAGAGTTTGGTGGCTTCGGTTCAGTCTCAGGAAAGATAGATATAGAAATTAAAATAAATCATGAAGGTGAAGTGAACAGGGCTCGTTATATGCCCCAGAATCCTTGTGTTATTGCTACCAAGACTCCTTCATCAGATGTTCTGGTCTTTGACTACACAAAGCATCCTTCCAAGCCAGAACCTTCAGGAGAATGCCATCCAGATCTAAGGTAAAATTTCCTTAGTAATGTATTTATATACATTATCAGTCTGGTGTTTGACTGGTTGCTGGTTGAGGCATCCTTCCTTTACAACGAAGATAGACCTTAATTACCCTCCTACGCATGTTAATTGAGTGTACATTCATGTCTATATATATTTTGAAGGGCTTCCAAATAACTTAGGATACCTGGAATATAATGTACAGGGTGTATAACACATGCATTTACCAGCAAAACATAACTTTTTGGTTGGAACACATAGACACAGCAAGCATGTCTTAATTTTTTTACAATTTTAAATATTTGTTCGGTTTAATACAATACTATGTCAATTTTTTATTACAAATTGATGTGAACTATTAGATTTTGTGTTATGTATAAAATGTCCCTAAAATTTTTTAGTGGAGACAGTGTCAAGTGTGATTCTTCTTTGGTAAAACCATTCTGAACTTGACATATGGGAATCATGCTTAATGCTTAGTCTAGGCTCTAAATTCTTGTTATTATGAACTTTACTGTATGCATTGTATAAACAGGTTGCGTGGTCATCAAAAAGAAGGCTATGGTTTGTCATGGAACCCCAATCTAAATGGATATCTTCTTTCAGCAAGGTATGTAATCGAAATCACATTTTTGACCAAATTTTAATTTTATTAATATTTTTTTAACTGATCACTAAAATTTAGTATACTACATAAATCAACATATGGGGTACTTTTCACCAAAAGTCATAAATGTAACTTAAACCAAAGAAAGTATTAAATAATCATCACTTTAGGAATAAGCAATACCTAACATTGACTCCTGTCTTAAGTCATATTTAACTTTGAGGTGCAGTTGTTTGCAAGTTTAAAAACCTATTTGAATTGGCTCTGTTAACTATGGAATTGCTCAAGCAATTCTATATAATATAGAATTGATATTCTTTTAAATTTTCACCAAAAATCCTTTTTTTTCTCTACATTGGCTTATTTCTTGGTGGTCACAATTGAATGAAGAGCCAAGAGTTAGTCCAGTTAGGGTTATCTACTTTGAATCTCATAATACATGTATTATATTTTAAGAACTATAATAGTGTGATTAAATTTTTTTCCTATATTTATAGCGATGACCACACTATATGCTTGTGGGACATCAATGCCACTCCCAAAGAGGGACGAGTAATCGAAGCTAAGTCGGTGTTTACTGGGCACACTGCTGTAGTAGAGGATGTGGCCTGGCACCTCTTGCATGAGTCCCTATTTGGGTCTGTTGCTGACGACCAGAAACTTATGATTTGGGATACCAGGTAAGGTTTTTATGATTTACAGAAATGATCTGTTTTTACAGATATACAAATTTATACAATTCTAAGAGTGTCGATGTGTCGCCAAAATTTTCGTGTTATTCTAAACCTATAAAGATTAAGAAACCGCATTATTTTCATACATAAACAGCCTGTTTAAAATGTTGGTTAATTAGTGTAGAAATATCTATAGATAAAGAAATAATTTTTAATTTACTTACTTCATTTACGTAACATAATAGGTGTAGCTGTGTACATTTTTATTTTTTATGAAAAAACATCTTTTATGAGCAAAAATCTAACATTGCAACTAATGCATGCATTCCCAGATGTAACAACACATCGAAACCCTCACACACAGTGGATGCACATACAGCGGAAGTGAACTGTCTCAGCTTTAACCCATACTCCGAGTTCATATTGGCAACTGGAAGTGCTGACAAAACCGTTAGTATAATAGTAATTTAAATAAGTAGTTAGTAGCATATTTTCAAAGTCAAATCATTTATTTCAATTAGACCACCTAAAATGGCACTTTTGAACGTCAAACAAAATTCAAAGAAGATTCTAGTTGCCTAGATTTTAAATAAGTAGTTCAGAATACAAATTTCCATTGCATGCAATATTTTAATGTAATTTACATTTATAGACGTCATAAAATAATTACCAACTTTTTATTTTTATTATTACTTTACAACATACTTGTAAGTAGCTGAAATTTTTACACCTTGCTTGATATGAATTGGAATGAATTTAAAATCAAACTATAAGCAGTAGTTATGGCGAAATAGTAACATGCACTTACAATACATATAGTGAAAAAATGTTTCATTTAATTTTTTTAATACCCAAAGTTCTTTGACTTTTTTAAACAAAGTCAAGATATGTCAATCACTCAAGAAATAAATAAGGTTGTTAGGGTTCTTGGAAATTTTATATTACAACCAGTATCCCATCTGTATTTCTGTAATTCGTGAACAGAAGTTAAAAGTTTTTAAATGCCATCAGTCTGTGAGATCTACTAAAAACGTGAATTTGACACGATTTCCAAAGATAACGAGGCTTCCAAACAAATAAATAAACACCCTAATTGAGATGATATATATTCATGCTTTATCATTTTGATAGTTAAAATGTATACAAAATATATTTTAATGCTTAAGGCAATGTTAATTGTTTAGGTCGCTTTATGGGATCTCCGAAACTTGAAGTTGAAGCTTCACTCTTTCGAGTCTCACAAGGATGAGATATTCCAAGTGCAATGGTCACCGCACAACGAGACCATACTGGCTAGCAGCGGTACTGACAGGAGGTAAGATTGCAGATTTTTAATTGTAGACACTAAAATTAAAATTTCTCCTAAGATATTCATTGAAATTATTCAGTATACATTTGTTTTAATGTTGGTGTTACATAACTATTTATTTAAAGCTCTGTCAATCCCATTTCAATTTGGAATTCTTTGTAGGTCTTCCCCAAAGAAAGATATTGGAAAATAATATTAATATTTTTAGACATTATGGCTACTTAACTTAATTAATTGAACTAAATATTATTTTTAGACTGCATGTATGGGATCTGTCCAAAATCGGTGAAGAACAGACAGCGGAGGATGCAGAAGACGGTCCCCCTGAGTTGCTCTTCATCCACGGAGGTCACACTGCCAAGATCTCTGACTTCTCCTGGAACCCTAACGAGCCATGGGTCATCTGTTCAGTTTCTGAGGATAATATTATGCAGGTATAAATTTGTCTTTTTTTTTTTAATTTTTTTAGTTAAATATATAATTTAATTTAATAATACATTTTTTGTAAGTTTTATTAAGTGTGTGTGATAAGTTATATATACAAGTTTTATAATATTGTTATTGACACAATTTTATTATAAAGATTAAAGATTTTTTAATTTGTTGTACCAAAAATCTGCTCGCCTATTATTGGTGTCTTCTTTAGATGATAGAACTGACATAAAATATTTAATTATATGTATGTAATTAAAAATCGCTAATAATTAAACTTAATCCCAAAAGAAGATATAGTTTTTAAATTAGAGATAATTTCAAACACAACATAAACCATAGTATAACCATACTAAATAGGTCTGTCTTTACATTAATTTATAAAGTTTTTATGAGTTTATTTTAATGAGTTTATTAAAAATGTATTTGTGAGTTTGTTTTAAACTCTCAACAGATTCTGCATTCTTTCACATTAAATAGCTTTATTGTTCTGGACATATTTTAGTGTTATAAAATTTGTGTTATCTTGATTCAACATGTTTAAAGGTAAATACTTAAGTATACATAAGTACATATTTAGTAACTTTTATGATTATTATTTCAGGTATGGCAAATGGCTGAAAACATTTACAATGATGAAGAACCGGAGACACCCGCCTCTGAACTGGAATCTAGTGTCAACGTAAACCATGGATAGTGACTACACACTAAGTAGGGTTACACATATATCTTACGTAACGGTCAGCTGTGGCGGGAGATTTAAAACGGCAAGTTTGAGTTGTCAAATACAATAAATTCGCGCTTATAATTGTTTAAGAAATTTGTTCAAACATGCCACACAATTACAGTAATGCCTGATTTCTTTGTCTCCTGTCAGAACTTTTATTGAGGTCTTTGTACTAAACATGTCAAGTTTTAATGGTGTATCTGAACCAGCCAACAGTGAAAAAATTTTGTATTGAAAAAATTATTGTAAAAATGTAAAAATTTTGGTACTGTACTATTAAGAATTTCGGAATAGTTTTGGTTCTCCCCGCTTTCATCATACGAATAAGTAGGCCCATATTTTAAACAAGGTGGAGATTAAATAAAACGCCATCTTTTGGTAACCGACAGACTTTAAGAAAATTTATAGTGAGCACTTATTTATTAGCTACGTAAAAAAATGCCATTGTATCTAAGTAACGCGTTACCAGGAGCGCAATACATAATCGAATCAAGAACTGGTTTGATACCCAATCTAACATTTATAGACAGACTTGTCTAAAAATAATCAAATATATAGACATGTTTGACCACATCGAGTTCCACAAAAGAGAAATAGCACCGCGGACTTCAAGAAATTAGTACTATTTTCAAATTTAGTAATGAAAACTCATCTTGACAGTTCAATAGTATTAGAATATGGGGCCTATGTTTTTATCTCATTGACAATTCTGTAGATTTTTTTCACTTGTATAACCGTCAATCATTAATAGTTATATATTTCAATAAACCTTATTTTGAAAATTGAAAATCGATAGTACAATGAAAAACTTATCAATGCCCGAAATGATATTCACTGTTACTTTTATTTAGGGTCCAATACAAAGAAAGCCTGAATTGTTTTGTCTTTAAATCATAAATAATAATATAATTAACACTAGCAACACTGAGAGTTGCTGGCAACTTACGAGATCTCAGCAATGAACAATAGGACCCTAAATAAATAATGAATCTCCTCCAGATTTACAGTAAATGCTTTTAATAATTTTTGTCATGAGAGGATTCCAATATTATTTATTAAGTTATTATAAGTCACAATTCGCCGATACAGTTGTATGCTCGGTGACGCGACTGAATGTCTAATGAAATAGTTTAAGTTCTTCTAATTATTACGAATTAAATAAGGTAATGATTTAACCGAGTTTTATTTTTAACCGTGCCTTTTTTGAGCTTTGCTTTTCCTATTTCAATAAAAATTGCCTTTGCCTGGAGATTCTTGCGCTCTTCTATATTTCGGTCATATCTTCGGTCTCATTCATTCACTCTTCAAATAAAATGAGATTTAAAAAAAAACATTGCATACATTAAATTCGCCGATTCTATTTTTAAACTTTACGTATACACTGTCTGTGCAAGACAGGCTTTTAACAGACTTTTGCATAGTATAGTTCCAGTGTTCCTCTACATAAGTCAGCAGATGGTTTGACACTTGGCTTTTTCTAGGTATAAATTACTATACGACGTTAACAATGACGTATATACGATATACGTACATTGTGTAGATTTATACAATCATTATTTTGCGTATAAAAAAACCATTTACCAGCGTGCCAGTTTCATATAATTAGACATTTAAATGATTAGAAAACAATTTGGGCAATTGCTGCCAACATTGATGATATTGAGGGTCGAGTTTTTGGCACGTTTCAGCTCCCCACTTCGTGATGGCCATACTCAGAGATGACTCGAACATGAACGCCTGTGAACAAGCCAAAAGAATCAGAAATAACTGTTCTGTACTTATATGCAACTAAGGTTTTAAGTAAAATAATAAACAATTTGTTATTAAACGAATTTGTATTTTATTGAATTTTTTTGCTAATTCACAAATAATTATTTATGGCTTCTCGTAGTTGTGATATCAAAATCAAAATACGTTTATTCAATTTAGATGCTTCTTAGAGCATGCTTATGAATGTCAACAACGTTTACAAAATTCACGAAAGAGCAAGACTACGCCATCCGTTCGCAAAACTACCAGGAGGCCTTGTTCTGAGAAGAACGGGCAAGAAACTCAGCAAGTTTGCCCTCCCTTTACATTACAATTATTCAAAGGAAAATGTCAGAAACCACAACGTCATTAAAATTACATAAGTAAAAAAAAATAAAAAATCTGTTCTGTGATTTACCACATTCACCTTACACACATATTCATAACACTTCAAAGATAACAAATCAAATTATAAGAATATAATTAGAACTATTGCCAAGCGTTTTTTATCTTCCAGGTAGTCATTGACTGTGTAGTAACCTTTACACATTAAGGTTTTTTGATGTGTGTTTTGAATCTGTTTAAAGGCAGTTCCAATATTTCACTAGGAATCATGTTATAGCAGCGTATACTTAGGCCCATAAAATATAGAATAATTAAATATAGATATAGTAATATATATTGTATTACTAATGCTACATTATTGTTTAAAGAGATTATCGATAAATATTTCTGTAATAGATTTTTACAACAATTAATAATAATTTATAGAATAAACTTCCTACATGGTTAATATTTGCGTTGGATTTTATATTTCATAAATTACCTGAGTCCCGACGGCAATTTTCTGTGGAGTAAGTTCACCTGTTGAAGCAGCCGTAAAGCATTGGGCATCAGGGCCGTGTGGAGTCATCATGGAGTGTAAAGAGGCTCCGCCGGGAAGAAAGCCACCTTCCTTAGCCTCATATGACCCCAGGATCAGACCCATGAATTCGCTCATACAGTTTCCTAAACAGTGTTTTTATCGTTATAAATTTTGGTTATTAGTGATTTTTCTAACCCTTTATAGTTATAAGAAGATTGCATAACAATAAAAAGACAATATATAAAATTTAATAACACTTAAATTCCGTTGGGATTGCTTGCAGTCTTTTTTAAATACACATACATAATCAAAGTTTAAACTATAACCATAAATAATAGAATTGAAGTTGGGACGCATTTTGGCCAACGATATCATATAAAAATTACGCGTTATTTTTAAAGTTTCTCCACATTGAGTAAAAATATATTTAAATATAGACTTACTGTGGTAGTACGGGGGTCTAAAAGTGTTCTCTTGAACCGACCATCTTGGTGGAAAAATAACAAAATCTGCTATAGCGACCCCTGGTTTGGTGGATTGGCAAGTCAGAACTGTGAATATTGATGGATCCTAAAATATAAATGAAAATTATTATATTTTTACTACAAAGTAGCAATTGTTCTTTTTTTGTGTGTAGGGTAGACATAAATAAGGGGTCATAGTTCGCGTTACGTCGCGTTTCTGAATCCTCGCCCTGCAATGTAGAACTTGGAAGCGTAACGAATGTGAGGGGCGGGGAAGCGGGTCTTGTTTTTAATCATGTAAATTATAAACGCAATTAACAAAGGTATTTTAGCGACTTTCCGGTAATTTTTTTCATGTAAATTATAAACGCAGTTAACGCAATTACAAAGGTATTTTAGCGACTTTCCGGTATTTTTTTCTTTCTCTGTCTGCAATTAACTCATACAGTGCAGGCAAATAAAAATTCGTAAGGAAATCAATATCTAAAACCCTGGGATTCTTGGGAGTCTATTAAAAATAAAAATTATCAAAGAAAGAATGACCTAAGGGTTGTGACTTCACTTGCTATTATATACTCAATGAGATACGTAAATAATAATCGTTTCATATTGACTCAGGAGGCACTTTGGTCTTTTTCCCCTTGCCTATTTACAATTACGAGTTAAAGAACTTTACATCAAATCATTATTCTTAAACAAAGATGTAAATTTTTAAATACATACACAGTGGTCAAAAGATACAGAATTGATGACCATAAACTTGCTCAGATCGTATTTGTAAGGTACATAGTTGCCATGCCACGCCACAACGTCGAATGGTGAATGATTTTGTTCAGCTTCGAACAACACTCCATGGTATTTGCTTATTATTTTGAATCCTTAAAGAGAATTTAGTCATTTTACTGTCTATATAAATATGCAACAATATTCCCGCCAACAGTTGACTAGATTCTCTACTTTATAGGTTTTTAAACATTTTATAAATTTAGTTACAACTTACGTTTAGTTTTATAACAATAATATATATAAATTTGAAAATAAAATTTCAACATTAACTAACTTTTCGTTCTTAAATAAAAGTAATGTATTAAATAAAGTTGCCTTCGTATGTTGTATGCTAGCTACCATAGACTATACCTGGTATTTCTTCATCATGGTAACAAGCGACTGGTGTAAGAAAGTCCCGAGGGTTGGCCAGTCCATTGGCACCAATGGGTCCAAGGTCCGGAAGCTTAAAATGACCATCGAATACTTCGAGGATATATCCCCTACAAAATTAACACGTACTTGAATTAATACACCTACAAATCGCTATATACGTATACGTAATGACTTTATACTCTAAACTATTCCGTCTACTAAGGAAATAACAAGTTCTCGAACTCTGCCACTGGGGCCTTCGAGCCAGTCGCAGAGGTCAAGGTCGAGGATCCTTAGTATTAGTCGGAGGAAGAGCAGCACCTTCCTTTTTTTTTGAACACCGATTATTATTTTTAAGATCACAGACAAGTTTTATTTCTTTTTCTTACAATAGTTCTATAAACATGTACAAGAAAAAACGTAATTACTGATAAACAACAGAAATTATAAGTCATATAAATAAAAAAAAATATATTATTAAAGGATTCTATAATTATGCGAAAAAATAATAAAACGCGACTATTACAACTTTAAAATTGTAGTTAGAAAATGTCAAAATATATTTAAACTACTTTCGGTTCATTGAGCAAAATAGATAGATAAATAATTTTAAACAATTCCTAATAAATGTAGGTATGTCTTAGACACATTTTATGATCGTAATAATTGCGATTTCATTGTTATAATACATTCTAGATAGATTCTTTTGTTAATGAAATTTACCTTGTAGGTCCATCAACAGCTACAGCAAATCTCATTCCAAGTTGAATGACAGCGATTTCATTTGGTGCAACCTCCATTTTCCCAAACTCGGTTGTTATCTTCAGAACTCCTTGTTGTGGTACTGAAATGGTAAAAAGTAAGTTACAAAAAACCACTGGCACTACAACCTTTATGGTCTGGGCCTCAGATTGCTGTATCTGTTTGGCTCTCAAGCTAATTTCCTCAATATGCTTTCCTTAAACATAATGTCTATTGGTACACAACAGACGAGGTTCGAACCTACCGAATCGACCTAGCCACTAGGCCAACACTGCTCATGTAAGTTATAAAGCTAATTAATATTTAATACGTATACTAACTATACCATTTCTTCATATTATTTGTGCCACATATTATATGACATAAGATTGCATAACATTACTTTCAGACAATTCATTCCTTTAGGTATGATATAAATATACAGTAATATAGGTTTAATCAGGTCAGACTAAACCTGGTGGACTGATTTAAAAATCTATGGAACTATTCTAAAATAAATCTACATTTAATGCCTCAGGTACGTTCCTACTTCTTTTGGCGCGTTAGGGATGGAAAAATGATTAGAGTAAATTTGTTCTATTGTTAGTGTCGTTTTTTCTACAAACGTAGAATAAGGCGAAAGATAAAATTTTGGAAAATATTTTTATCTTGTTACGCCAAAGAAGTATAACTTCTTCTAATGCTACACGCATTAGAAGTTATACTAATGATATAATAACAAACGTTTTTTGTTGTTATATCATTAGAATCCGTCTAAATATTGTGGTAAATAACATCAATGGAAACTAATGAAACGTAAAAGTACTACGTTAAATTATGAAGTAAACGTATATATTATGTTCATATAATCTCAGCGTTCGGGCCGGCCAGTTTTAAGTTGACGAAAAGTAAACCTCATTTACATGTTCAAAAATAATTGAAAAAATATTAACTTACTGCTTTAGTATTAAAAGAATTCCTTTATTAGTTATTGCATGATAGTATAAGTTGTTTATACATACCAATAAGTAGATCACCATCGCTGCTGTAAAAAGCACTTTTTTCCATTGTGCTGTTACAAAGGTAGACATGGATGGCGATTCCATTGCGTGCTCGAGGATCGCCCGCGCCGCAAACTGTATGCAAGCCGGCGACGAAATCCACCTTTTCATTTGGTATATCGAAAGGTGACCAGCGAGACTAAAAAATAGTTTACAATTTTTAGTGAAGTTATGCTTATTTTGGGGCGTTAGGGAAAAATGATGACAGTAAATTTTTATGATGCGCGCGCACACCGTCAGAAAAAACCGACACCCTGAAGTTAGCTATAGTCAAAATTTTATTTTATGATATTTAAACAAACTTTAATTAATTAGATAATGCGTTATAATAAAACTGTATCACTTTGTTATCAACAGAAATAATAGACGTAGAGAAAAATTTGCACCTTCATATTACTATTACGGCTTCATTAAAAATGTATATTTTTGAACGATTCATTAATTTAATAAACAATCAAAATATAGTTTTATCAAAGTACTAAATTTAAACGTCTCTCGCTGACCATTACGGTTAACCATACGAACCGTCCATGGCAATAGATTAATATTAATATAGTTGTTTAATTAATCCCCTTTATGGGCCTCTGATTTCTAATTCATTTATGATTTTTCGGTGTAGGCAAATTATAGTTGATCAGTCTTTTATATTATTATTTTTGAGTCTAAGCTACGCTATATTTTCCTTCACCATACGAGTATATGTATAGAAAAAAAATTTAATTGCGCAGTCTGGGTTTGCATAGATCTCGTGTTTGGGACTCACTTGAAGAAGCGTGACACAAATAACCTTCGTCCTTTCAAATAAAGCTTTTAATCAGATTCCAAATCCTTTTTTAGTTAATCTATGACGTCAAGTTTAACAAAATGATTTCGACATCGCTAGAGTAAATATAATTAATAATTCATACTTGATTCGGATCCGGTTCGGCTTCATTCCAGTTGTGTGTTAAGTACTTGGCAATATTCGACCTTTTGAACGGTTTATGCACCACGGATGGACGGATTCTGTTAATCACCAAGAAGCAGCAAAATTGCAATTAAATATTAATTGAGCGTTATAAAATCGTCATTTTATTTAAACGAAACGGCTCGCTTCTACGTGTTAAAAACATATTTTAACAAAGACTTTCCATTTTACAACGCATTACGTCGACAAATGATCATAAAACAGATACAGAAATCTAAGGCCCAGACACAAAAAGATTGTAGCGCCACTGATTTAAGAGTTTACAGAAGTATTATGACGGATTATGGATACCTGTAAAGCCACGAGCGTTTGTTTTCATTTCTCGGAGCAGTAAACGCACTACCAGACAGCTGTTCCGCGTAAAGTCCGTATGGACATCTTTGGGGACTATTCTGTCCCACTGGTAGAGCCCCAGGCCGACGCGGGTCTTCACTTGTGAATTCCGAATCAAAGCCAGTCAGATACTGTTAAAATACGGAATAATAAAGTTATGAACTATAATGTTAGCGAACGAATTGAATTTTTTACAATACTTTTATACAAATAACATTGATTCTATCATTGATCTTAGTACGTCAAAACTAGCTTAGTACATACATAAATAGCAAATGTGTTTTAGTAAAATAAAATGTAAAGGTAGTTAGGACTTAGCGCAAACTAAGATTTATTATAAAATTCAACCATTCATACCACTATCAACAACTAATACGTTTTTGCCATACGAGAGTCGTGCTTAGGTAAGTATCGACTCTGAGGTTGAGATTCAGAAACGAGAGTAATTAAAATACTAAATTCTTTACATTTTACCATATAACATTTGAAACAAACAATACAATTACAGTTAAGAAGGTATTGGGAGACTGGTTTCCAAGGTAAGAACCTGTGATATGGATAACCAGGCTTCAATTCCACAGCACAGTCATACTGAGTCATAACAAAAAATTACATACATGAGTAGGCAAACAAATTTAAAGTTAAAAAAAAAAAACAAAACAGTTAACTAGATCAAAGACTAGATTAAAGTAAGCGCGAACTTCCGTATATCAAAATTCAATACATTTCTAACGTCCGCTTTTTCGCGTTAAGCCTCGTTCCTGAATACCCTAAGGGAATGTTTGTTCTAAATTCTACACTTTAGTAAAATAAAATCTTACCTTTAACTCCGACATTGCGATACGTCGTGTAATGTCCAACAGCTATTTCTAACTTATATAAAACATCGCAGCTCAGTATGCTAATAGACTCTTGTTATTAAAATAACTGGTTTTACTGGAGTTTACTTCAAAAACAAGGCAGGTATCAACTATCTCGTAAACATGATAATAATATTTGTATTCGTTATCCCATTGCACAATAATACTGATTATGGCAAGGTCATGTCTATTGGGCTTACATTGCTAAAGTCGCAAAAAGTGTACAGCCACGCTATTCAATCTCGTAGAGGCTTTCTATAGTGTTGATACGGAGAATTTATCTGCGCATAAATTAGCGGAAATATGAACAGGAGTTTCAATACATCCAGCCTATTAGGGAATATACGACTAAGTCACCTTCTTTATTATTAGGTGCATATTTACATTTCTTTCAAGAAACTTCTGCCGGCGTAGAGCTTATAAAGTGATTTCCAGTAGCATCATGAAAGAGCTACTAGCTTCTGTACATGATGCAGATGCCGCAGTTGTCACTAAATTCGAAAAATGGGCAATACAAGACAGTTTTTTTTAAACGTTTGTTTTAAAGTCTAATGCCCCGAACATGTCTGGCGTTATCTATATATACCAGTGATTCTTCTCGCCTTATTTATATGTATAGTTTATCTGTTCATTATAATAGAATGTAACGAAACAATCCCGGTGGTTCGTTCCATATGTTACCTTAATTCATTTAAAAAAAATCATAGTAATAATATTTAATCATAGATAGTATTAACACATACAAGTAATTGTTCATTTAGAGAGTATTTGGTATACCTATTGTAAAGTACTAAAATATTGTAATTTTCGTTCCATCTTCGCGTACAATGAATTGTTGTAATGCAAAAAAAAAATGAGGTAAATTTGCCGCCCTTGGCTCCTCTACTAAATCCGTAAAGGTTTTATCATAGTTCTGTATTTATATTCTTACTGAAAACATAATTAATAAGCGCTTTAAAACGTGGCCTACGTGTGTGATATCAATAACAGGGTAATAAAGCAAATTTTATTTCTCAATATTTATTATGCAATAATGAACAATATAATGTCAAGCAATTTAATATCAATAGAACAATATACAATAATTTCATTGAATGAGACAGAGTATTAAAAAAATATCTGTAATATACAAAACTAATAATAATTTAAACAATAGTCACGAAAGCCTTTTAAGAAAATTATCTTTAAGAAATATCGATCACAACAAAACGAGAACAAAAAATTCATACGCAGTATAATTTTCACTAAAGTAAACAATCAGTATTTTATTAATAAATAAAATAATATAATAATTAAAAATATAAATGTCCCATTCCGGATTATATTTCATCTGATTATAGTGAATAAATGGAATATACAATGTTTATCGGTTTTCAAACTGTAATAAGTACTATCTTAACAATATTATTGTTCTTATTAATACTTTAGTTTTGAAACCACAGACCATAGTTCGAGTTACTGAGACCTTAAGAGATATTTATCAAGGCAAGACTACAACCTAAGATATCATTGTAAAATTCATGGTAACACGAAGCCATAGTCGACAATACAATTCAATATATTATTATATAATAATAAAGTTTATTTGCCCTTCACAATATTGTATTTTACAGGTTTACACGCTGCAGGATTTGACCATCGTTGTGACAGGACGTGCCAATAATAGGACTATAGAATAGGTCACCAAATAAATAAAAAAAATATTTAACTATATTTCTACTGTGAGAGCCAAGGTAATTCTACTAAAGACAGTAGATTAACATCAAAATTTAACCTTCATAGTAGTAGCCCATTTCAGTTCCTAATACTAATGTCGTTTGTATAATATTTTAAATTAAGTTAAACTACTTGACCTTGAACTAAAATATTACAGAGGTCAAATAGTATGAAATATAACATAAAAACATTAAGAGAGACTTCGTCATACAAATATTATTTAATTTGTGAAATTTTCTTTCGGTAAAATGAATTCAGTTAGTCTCCACTGAAAATGGAAAAAAATTACACATATTACTATATTCTGTCAAATGCCACGAACTACGGTCTGTGCGTTTGGCCTTGCGAAAGAGACAGATACAGTTTGATAACTTGCACTTTAAATGATATCGCATTCTCTCTCTCTCGCTCAGAAATAATCAACCGAACAAATCGTCATTGGCAAGAAGACAACAAAGCATGTTTATCCATTTTCGTGTCAAAATAATACTTAAAATATAATTTATAGTTTATGGTGCCTTTCAAGTATTATATAAGCATTATTTTTGTACTAAATATTATTATTAGATTTATATTTTTAGCAACTGCTGGATCAATTTAAAATTCTATCACCAGCTTGCACTGCTATATATGCTATATCTCAGAGTATTTTTTTTAATATTAAACAGAAACACAACTTCTATTTTAAAAGTAAGCCATTAAGAATATTTAATATAATATATTTTCCGTAACTAGCTTTGTATAAACCGGAAAAGAACATATTTTAGGGGTGAATATGTTTAATAAAAGCTTGCTCATATTAAACTTCTTGACCCATAAAAGAGATATTTGTTAATGCTTATATAATATTTGAATGGCCCAATATATAATTAAATTCGCCAAACTTAAACACAAATCACAGATACAAAGCATACAACAAAATTTGCTACGACTATATTTGTAGGCAGTATAAAATGTGCACCTAATTTGGAATAATCACTGAGATTTACAAAATAAGTGCCCCGGAGTTTGGTAAAAAAGATATTAAACATGCATTCCATATTTAAATAGAAGTTGTAAAGACTTTGTGACTCCTTGTTCTTTTTCTACCCTCAAATAATTATTTTCTATTAAATTATCTTAATTATAACTACAATGGGACAAGAAATAATTGCGCACAATTATTTCTATTGATCCAGACTTTAAGAATACATTTTTTTGCAGACACTGCTAAATCAAATTACCAAGCCCCAGCTATTTTTAATTAAAGCGGGCCATAGACGGACCGCATGTTGCAGTCAAGACCGATTGCAATATCCGGTTTGCTCAGGAACTGCTCGAGCGATCCGTGTATTGTGTATATGAATTTAGTATGGAATGTCTTGACTGCAACATGCGGTCCGCCTATGGCCCGCTTAAAGCTCGACAATTGTGTTGTATCAACCAATTTGTCTAAAGATATAATTCCATCACTTTATATGTATTGGCTTAGTACTGTAAGAAGAGTATGTATTTATGTTTATAAATAAATACGTTAAAACATATATGAAACATTTATATATATTCACTGCAGCGTTTAATACCTAGGTAACACTTAAAATGTTTAGAAAATAAAAAACGGCTTAATGTAGAAAGTTGCCAATACTTTTATTGTTTTTCGAAATAATCTCCGTTCCTCTCTACACATTGTCGCATTCGATGGAACCACTGAGAAAAGCAGTGGGCCCATTCTTCCTTAGGGGTCTCGTCTATGGCATTTTCGTACGCTTTCACCGCATCTTCAGGGCTCGTAAAGCGAATACCTCGAATTTTATATTTAGTTTTCGGTTCGTAGTAATATATCCTTAGCTTTCATCTTTCATCACCTGTGACGTCAAATACAGCATTTGACTTACCGCCGTTGAACTTATCTAACATTTGGCGATACCAGTCCATGCGAAGGTGTTTCTGGTCGTCGGTTAAAGTATGGGGAATCCATCTGGTACAAGTACAAGCTTCCTGACACCTAAATGTTCGTGTAATATTTTTTGGACTTGACTCATACCAATGCCTAGGTTAATTTTCACGTGTAACGAGAGTTTTGGATTTGCCGCCAATTCACAAAAACAAATGACAATATACTACATTAGGTTACCAAAGAGTTCTAAAATTGAAATTAAAAAAAAGTTTTCATTAGCAATGTTTCTAACTGGCCAGTTCTAAACATTTTCAGTGTTACCCACATTATATGCCGTACCGTCTCTGCATTTGTGACGAGCTTCAGAACTTCTACTCAAATATTCACTATAAAACAATACGCGAGGCACTTCTTAATCCTACCTATACATAGAATATCACATGGCTCTTCGCCCAAAACGTTACAACCAAAAATATTCAAACCCATTTGAATTCGCACACGTCACCATTAAAATAGCTTTAAAAATAAAGCTAAAAAAGGCTCGTGAAATCAAAAAATACTCCGTTAAACTTGAAATTAAATAATTTTGATATCAATTATAATATGAATGTCCAAACCAATGCATCAAGTTTCAGAATAACGTACTACAGTTGGTAATTATTCTCTACTGTCTATGTTAGTAAAAGTAGCGCTAAATCTGACATCCGTACGTCAAAAATGTCCTAGATTTTGACAAGTGACAAACATTATTAATGTCACCCTAGTAACAAATCATTAACGCCCAGTTTCATTTCATTTATCATACATATAAAGGTCATGCATAAGTCCAATTTTGATAAACATTTGACAGTTCTGTAGTCTATGACTCGTACCAGTACGATAACTCGGACCGAGTATAACAACTAGAATTGCTACGTATTTACTATAAAGAAATCGCATTCGATTGTCCATAGACCATAGAAACAAAAGCCATCAGGTATTCGATATTGATTATCAATTGTTTTAATTGCTACGACCGTAAATATATATATATGTATTTATCTTTCTGAAAGCATAATATCTTTTAAGCCTTAAATTATGGAACACATAATGTTGTGTCACATGATATAATAATCCTTTCAAACATTTATTCCCTTAGTCACAAAAATAGTCTTATTGCATTCTAAATTAAAGTTCTTAATTGTCTCTTTCTGTCAAATTGTGTTACCACTTTGATAAAAAGAGACAAAATTACTTTAATATGGTACACAGTTCGACTTATTTTTGTATGAATGAGGGAGACAGTTATATGATGTATAATTACCAACGATAAACCTATATCAATAGCGAAATCCAAATGGGCATTATTCGACAGTAAACAATCACGAAAAATTATATAAAATAATTTAGCACATTATCTTTGGGATTAAAATACATTATTTGAAGTCACAATACATTAGTAGCTATACAATTAGAAGTCGCCTATGAATCTAACATGCTATCTCTATCTAACATAGCAAGATAACTTGTAGCAAAAAAGGACAAACAGTTTATTTACAATGCTATTACTACCTTAACAACGATAAGTACGGTTATATGGTGCAATGCCAGTATATAACTCAATGTATAAAAAAAATATAACAGGCCTAGTGTGAATTGACCAATAAATTCAAAAACGTTTCAAAGGAAAAGGTGACGTGTATATTTTTTCGTTTGTGACGTTTTGACAGTGACAACAATACACAGATAACCATTAAAGTTGAATCTTAAGCAAATATTATAGCTTCATCGTCAACTAAGATCGTAAAAAAAGGGTAACTAAAACGTAATGTTCTAGCCTCGTTGCCATGGCAACCGAAGAAACATAGTGAAGATATTAATATATACTGGCATTACACTTTCCCTAATATCACTACAGTAACCTCAAAAGCATTTAATTCTAAATTGTGCTAAAAGTTCTTTAGAACAAGTTATTGATTATTGCACGTTAGGTAGCGTTCAAGTATTACGTAACAAATTTTGGGGGGTCCTTTTGTAAAACGTTACGATACGGGACGGGGATTGAGCATAAAGAGTCACTAGGTGGTCACGAAACGTTTTACTATAGGTACTTGGGTACAGTACTAGTACAGTATAGATAAACGTTACAGCGCGTTACATGGGGGGGTCAATAATCTCCAAAAATTGCGTGACGTAATACTTGAATGCTCCCTTAAGTGTCGATTATATAATGTCAGGTTTTCTAAAATTTGAATTTCGAGTAGATTAATAATGTACTGATTTTTATATATTGAGTATGTTATATTTTCTTCAAAGATTACGCTTAATGGACCGATCCTAATAACTTACAAAACTTATCTGTATTCTAAAATATCAGAACAATGTCTTTCAAGTAAAAAGGATATTACAATTCTGGAACATTAGTTTCCTTAGGGTTGTAAAGAAAATAATTTAATAGACCGTTCACGAATTGTTTAAAACCTGTCTTATATGGTGTGAAAATATAAAATTAAACATATTAAAGCATATATATATGTTCATCGAAGAGTCGATAATAAATACGAAAGCAATAACGAACGTGTTCATACTAACCCTTAAGTATGTTATTAAGGTCGGTTTTAGGGATAATTTGATTAAATTACTGATGGGATGGAAGCATATGCGCCCACGCAGCTTCATATTTAGAGTGTGCGGTACTGCAGGCCGACTTGGTGGCTTCGACAACGCTTAGGGGAAATGGTTCACACTGCAAAAGGAATAAATATATATAATTAAAATATATATAAAAATTTTACTAGCTGACCCGGCAAACGTCGTTTTGTCATGTATATTATTTCTAGGAAACATTTTTAGTTCAATAAAAATAACTATCTATTATAATAAAAAATAGGGGTTGATCGTAGAGGGGTGACAATTAAGGGATGTATGTATTTTTGTATGCTGTATCATAAAAAACAAAAAGTTTTGAATAATAATAATAAAAATTTAGGAGTGGAAGGAACCCTTAACATTTAGGGGGATGAAAAATAGATGTTGTCCGATTCTCAGACTTATTGAATATGCATAAAAATTTCATAAGAATCGGTCGAGCCGTTTCGGAGGCGTATGGGAACGAACATTGTGACTCGAGACATTTATATATTAGATTTTCATCAGTTGGATGGTAAAATAAATGAAAAAAGCTTACCGTAAGATCACAATATGCTCTTTCCACCGCCGCTATAAGCCTCTCCAGTTCGTTACTACTCGCTAACACTAGTGCAAGCCCCGCACCCCGCTCGCGTGCCTCGCATACACTCCATTCCTATAAAAGTACAAAATAATGGGCAAATATTTTTATTAAACACAGAAAAAGTGTCCAAGTGCGAGTCGGACTCGGCCATAAAGGCAAGCAGCATAGATAATTATGGATGTACAACTAAAGTCAACGCATTTTAAACTGAGTCGTCGGTCAATAAATGTCACAGACAGTAGGAATGTGCACGCAATGCAACCCGTTATCGATACTTAGCTACCTGCGCACATGGTCAATGCGTCATTGTGACTCTATCGTGATCTATACAGTTTCTCTATGATTACGTCGAAACAAACATTTTATATTACAAATTAAAAACTTAGATATCGAAAAAGTATTCCTATTAATACTTAACATATTGTTACGAGCTAGGGGATCGGATAGAAACGCCGTAGATTTCTTCAAGGGTTTATTTTGAATTAAATCTACGAGGAATTTGTTAACACAAAAACTGGAAATTATGCACTAAAATTCACTGAATACACACACAAAATACTGTCACTAATTACACGCACTTCACACAGTAATTGTATTCACTTGTCTTCACTATATTCGCACTTTGTCACTCCGGTGTTTATCGCTTGGTATCGCATTCAAAACTGAACTGATCGGTCGCGTTTCGGCTCGCTTTTATATCCCTGGGAGCGATGTTCGAGAACTCTCTAGGCGGCAGCGCAACTGAGTAGCGATCGCACAATTCTAGAACGTGCGTACTAGCTATCCCTTTCGCACATTGCTCCGTCCTTGTCGTACGGTGTTCTAGAGTGCTCGGTCTAGCTTCGAGAAGGTTCCGATCTTCCCTCTCTCTCGCGTATCATTCCGTCCTTGTCCCACACCTAGAAAATTCGTTCTAGAACATTCCTTCATCAAAGGGGTATAACCAGGCCTGAAAACGCCTGAAAACGGGGTTCCTGAAAAGTGTACCATTCGACTACACGTGTTCTGAAACGACCTGAAAAAATGTTTCAGGCTCCTGAAAACTAGGGTGACATTATGTAAATAACGATTTTCTAATATGTGATTGACCCTCTCCTGAAACGGTCAGAAATCACATTTCAGCCTGCTGAAAAGGTCTCTAACTAGTGGAAAAATCTAAAAACATTGCAGTCGACCCGTCTTCGTAACAATATTTTAGTAATAGTGTAATTTAGCTTAACATAGTTTAGTATCCCCTTATCGATATGCACCTCTACTATTCTTACGCACATCACTACACCTCTCCATAAAACCTGTAAGTGCGAGCGAGACAAACAGATAAATATGATTTATGACCCAAAGCCTCAGTTCATAATGCGTCGACTATAGCCAGCCAGTGGACTATGAGATGGGTACTTAATTTTATATGTAACAAGTGTCAGGAGTATCTGTATTGTATGCTGGATCTGGATATCAATAGTTGCTCGCCTCACACTTTAAGAGCGATTTTCGTTCAATATTGAAAAACACGTTAAAAATTGTATTTTATTTTTCTTTTATCAATGTATCAGGGTGCCGAGCGTTGGCAAGCTTTTTATAAATAAATAAATATGTAGTGTGTGTATGAGCAAGCTGCACTAAATATATGAGATCTAAGAACCTATATACCCTTTAGCTACAGTTGTAACACATAAGGGGCCGTCTCCACAAGCGAGAGAATCGCGACGAGTCCGCGTTTTTATCGTCGGGTAATCTCCACGAACGAGCGATTATTCCGCCAGCGTATCGTCGCGATTCGTAACGGAATCACAGCGTATCCGCAACGACTCGTAACGGAATCGCCGCGTTTCTTTGACGACACGTTGTGCTCTTATTTTGTTCAGTGTTCATTTAGAGTTCAGTGGTGCAAGACGAGACCGAAATAAGTAGTGTCTAAATCAGTCAATAAAATAATTATTTACTATGGATGTATTGTTTTTATTGATGTATGGTCACGCACGTCGCGCGCTCTCTGCGAGAGCGACACGTTCCGCGGCGAGTGCGCGACGTGCGCGCCACCAGTAGCAACAGGCTCGCAGCAATGTAATGACGTTTCGCTCGCACTCAACCACCCGTCGCATCGCCGTGTGGAGACACGTTCTATGATATTGTATAGAAATGCGTGGCAGGACGATTGTATCGTCGCGATTCTCTCGCTTGTGGAGACGGCCCCTAAGTAGTGAATATATAAGTCCCATACGGGTAGGATCAGCAGTTAGAGGTGGAATTTTCTCAAAGCTATTGGAACACGTGTGCCGTGTCAGCAATTCGTCAAGGTTCGAATGAAATAAATAACACATATTTAAAATTACTTTTGTCGGTGTATCGCGCACCCTCAGTTATATAAATTTGGGATGTCAGCGGTTAACAAATGTTCAAAAGAAATCTGAACAAGGTGTATATTATTAAAATGTATTCATTAGGAAACAATCTTACATTACTATAGTTGAAATTTTATTATTATATGTTTGAAAATATCTATAACAATTCAATTTTTCCCAATCAGAAAACCTTTCGAAACGTTAAAATGGTCCCAAACTATTTTTTTTCCATTTTACTTGACACATCATTTGACGATTATTAGTTAATTTATTATTATATCAAACTCACCAAGCAGCACCAGTTTTCATCTGTATCAGGTATCTTGAATGCTGTCAAATTCTTGATTGAGCCGCACGCCAAAATCTCAATATCAGTGTGCATTTCCTCGATATATTCTGAAATCATTAAAAAATCACATTATAGCGCTTGTTTAAACACGTGATTGGACCTATGTTTACTGTATAGTCTATCCAAAACCTTTGTAGGCAAAACAAAGAAAAATATTTTATTCAAAAACTGCTGTTACATTGTTGGCACAGTCTATGTCCTATTTCACCATGCCTCCTGCTGATAGAGGGCAAATCTTTGTTTTTAATTTTTTTATTATTATTTATTACTGTCATGTGGAACATGGTGTAATGGTTGCAGCTCCTTACAAACGTTGTGTAAAACATGAACATGAACCTGCACTACGTCCGCGCGATAAATTTTTATCTATGTTTAAATTTAATTGTATTATTTTCATATTCACTTTATTTTGGCTTAGAACAGACATAGTTTTGCGTCTTTCGTATTTGAAATTGTTCATATTAATCATAAAAACGTTGATAGTTACTTATTCTATAACTAGATGGCGTTGTACGCAAAATATTACAAAATGTATTTTTGATATATCTATTGAACGTCCTATCTTTATTACTCGTGTCAAATTGTAGGTTTATATAGTATATAGTAATCACCTTATTTATAAAAAAGAACTCTTTCGTTTCTTTTTGACAAATGATATGTTGTATATATATATATGTATACGTTGTGATGATAAGTGACAGATGACTAAAATTTAAATTGAACTTATTTTTTAATAAATTAAGATAACTTATTTAAGATTGAACTTATTTTTTAATAATTCAAGTACCTCTTAACAACGCTTCCGAGCCTCTATCCTTCAAATAGGCAGCTGCTCCAGCCACAAATGCCAGATCGAGGGTGTCTCTTAAGCTGATGACCTCAAACGGCGTGACGATTACCGTACAAGCGGGAGGTGGTCCGGAACGAACTGCTTTCTTGGGAGTTGTTTTCTCTTCTAACGACTGGAAATGATGTAAAGTTGTATGAACATCAAGCATTAATGGTTCATTTTTTCTTTTTTTCTAGCCTAAAACACATCGCTTGTTGGCGATAAGGCCGCCTGTTACCTTCCACATCAATTAAGTTTGTATATTTAATTATAATATACTTGTTTATCAGAGGTCAACAGAACATTTAACTTTGACAAGCAAGCTTTATACAAAAAAAGTACTTTCTTTTCGTGCTTTGGTGACCGACAAAAAACTATTTTTTTTTGTAGCTGTATCAAATTTGGGTATCAATGCCCAAAAATATTAATTAAAATGGTTAGACCACACTATAAAATCATAATTTGAATCGACATGCTTTTGATATTTTAAAATTGAAATACAATAGATTTTAATTTATTTTAAACAAACATAAAATCTTCTTCAACTATATCTTAAGGTCACTTACTTGAGCAGCATGCAAGAGCAAAGACTGCAGCCAAGATGATGCTGTGGGATCATCAGGTGCTGCCAAAAGAAGTCTACTTGAGTCACTGAGAGCGATCTCGAAGCAGTGCGGTCTTCTCGTTGCATCCACATGCCTTCTTACACCCACTACTAAACGTAGGGCTATGTTGTTTGGCAGGGGAGACCCGTCTGGGGAATGTGGACCCCAATGAAGGACACCAGCTCTGGAATGTTTTTGAAATATTAAGAGAGGCTAGATTAAAATACAAATGTATTTCTAAGCTATTGACGGCTTAATACGCAAAATAAATAGCGTGTGTGTTCGTTACTTATTCTGACACGAGATGGCGCTGGCCGGCCCAATCACGCGGTATCAGTACTGTTTGGTGGTGAAATTAGAGTTAATACATATAGTGTGTTTAATATTATGGCTATGTTATTTCTATACTGCTCAAAGCAATTAGCGGAACAAGATTTTTCTCCTTTCTATTGCTTAAACTAAAATTAGATTTAAATTAACTTGTACGCTATTTTTTACCTTGTTAATTTGTTAATTACTACAATTAATAAAAAAAATCAATTTTTTTTTTTTATTAAAATAAAATTAAAATGTGCATTGTAGACGAAAAACTAATTGGTAATAAAAAAGGTCCATCAAAGAAATATTCGTATATCGTTTGAATATTCGTCTTTAGTGACTTTCAGTAACGTGTGTGGCCTCCATGAGCCCTAATCACGGCTTGACAACGACGCGGCATGCTTCGTATGATCCTCCGAATATCTTCTTGTGGAATTCGCTCCCATTCTTCAATCAACGCTTCAGTGAGCTGCTGCAGTGTTCGAGGTGCAATCGGACGCTTCCGGATGCGCCTGTCAAGCAAGTCCCAAATGTGTTCAATTGGATTTAGGTCAGGGCTCATGGAAGGCCACTCCATTACACGGATTTCCTGCTGTCGTAAGTAATCTGACGTGATGGCTGCAGTATGCGGCCTGGCATTATCTTGCATTAAAAGAAAATCTGGGCCCATACCATATGCTGCGGGCCAAACATGATCTTCGAGCACATTTTCAATGTAAGTTTGAGCACACAAGCGCCCGGGAACAACGACGAGATCTGTGCGCTCGTCCAAACTCCGCCCCAAACCATCACAGAGCCACATCCAAATTTGTCATATTCCTGGACTGCTGCTGCACTGTATCGCTCGTGATTTTGCGCGAACTGTCGGCGAGCTTGTCTATGTTGAATTGTTAGACGCACAGCCCGAACTGGTCGGCGTGATCTCAAATTGGCTTCCAACAACCTATTTCTTACCGTCTGGTCGGAAATTCCTACACCAGTAGCCGTCTTTAGTGTATTTTGTAGATCTCTTGCAGTTGTGGTGCGGTTACGTAAAGCACAGTTGACGATGTAGCGATCTTGCAAACGTGTAGTTTTTCTCTTTCGACCTTGACCACGCCTTCGTGAGTATTCTCCCGTCTCACGGTATCGCTTCCAAAGTCTGTAGATACTGTCTACTGCTATCTGTTCTACTTAAAGTTTTGTTCCCGTAATTGTTTTGAGCAGTATATATACGGTTTGGTAGCCATGGTAACAAAAAGCTATTAATTCTCGTCTTAAAATGTCGAAACATGTATCTATTGATACAAGGTAGTTGCCCTAATTTAAGACTAAAAGTAAGATTTAGAAACGAGACTTACGTACGACAAATGTATTGAATTTTGACATAAGGAAGTCATAGTTCACGCCAACTTTCTTGAGACAGTCTTATTGAATTCAAGAAAATGTTGAAGTGCTATGCAACTTTTTGTGGACCGTGATCCCAACCCTAATAATTATTTAAATATTATGTGTATCATCATACAAATTCGAAAAAAAAAAACGTTTTAAATGGTAATGAGCTCTAGGATATTAGACGTTCATTTATATACATAGTTAATTTTTTTACATAGTAGCCTATCAGGAACGCGATCAGGCAGATCTGTGGTCGAGACGCTAGGCATCAGGGTAGTGTCAAATCTACCCTTTCCTAAACTTTATTTGCATAAACTTAGGTCTGGTGGGCTTGGCTTTACTCGCCGGGCCCGGGCGTTAATTTTCTTAATAGGCAAGAGAATGTCGAATCAAACGAAGAACCTGTTGAACAATGCAATTAACTGAGATTTTGTACTTACCGTAATAAGAAGTAACAGGGTTCAAATCGTTTGGTTTTATCAGTCCTGCACATAAGATACCCTTCGAGCGGTGGGGCGAACGCTCCAGGTGCCTCCATAAGTCGGTCCTCAGCATCTCCTGAACATGCACGTCCGTAGAATATGATTGGAGGCACCTAAACAATATTTTACTTCAGTTTAACAAATATATATATTTTAGTTATTGTTGAAAATAGTTTTTTTTATATAATACGGCGTTGCCTGCCTTTTAAGAATTAGTACGCTCGGAATTGGTTCGGAAATAGTTCAGTTGGCAACTGGTTCCACATGGCGGTCCAGCGTCTAAGAAATTATTACTATTCATTAGTCAGACACTTTTGTAAAAAAATATTGAACATATTCTTAGCAACTAATATTTTTATTTTATATAGCTTATTTTTAAATAGTTTCAATACGATGTAATGTAATTCTTTGAGAAATAAAGTATCTTTGACCAAACACAAAATATCTTTATTCATATAGGTAAACAAGTACACTTATGAACGTCAAAAAGAAGTTAAATTAATTGTAAATTTACTTTCCGCCACTCTTTTTAATCGCCAAGTATTGAGTCATACAAATTGTTTGAACTGGAGCAAATCAATCCCAAAAGATGAAGAAGAAGTATTCGTCAAATATATAAAAAGCTTTATTGATTAATTTACGAACAGATTTTAATTTGTATGTTACATTTCAATGCATCTGACATGACATTAGTGATCTTTAAATCTATTAGCAGTCTTAGAAAATAAGTGTATTATACAAGTGTTAGGTAATACTATGATGCCATAAGAATGAATACATCATTACCCTATTCACGGCTAGCTTTAATAGGATACACTCATTATTAAAAAAATACTTTAACAGCTTTTCAATTGTTTTTTGTAACGGCTATAGATAATAGTTTGAATTCAGATAACAGTTCCGCACCTGTATTTTTGTATTCAGTTTCGATGTAGTCTTGGACCTTTTTGTTAACTAAATATTGCCCTAACGCATAGGTGTCGCTATCTGCTATTCCGAGAGCCGGGCTATACCAATTTAAATTACCTTGGTTAATTCCAAAACGACCGCATTAAAAAGGCCCTCGCTTTATCATTTTACAGAGACCTCGACGGTCTAGCCGTGGCGTCGACAAATTGTTGCACTACCTACGTAGTCGGTCCCAAAGTTCTGTCATAAATAGAAATAATGATAAAAACTAAAGTACTGATCAGTTTTTAATGAGTGATATATCAATTAATAGTACATAAATTAAGAAATAGAAATAGCATAAAATTATTCGAAATGACCTCCCTTATTTTTAATACAGGCCCTTAAGCGCCGCGGCCAGTCGTCTATCGCAGCACGCACCATATTCATGTCGATTTCAGTGACTGCTTTTTTTAAAGATGACTTCAGACACTCCAAATTTTTATGGGGTTTATCACAGACCTTCCTCTCTAAGACCTGCCAAATTTTATAGTCCAAAGGATTAAGGTCTGGACTGGAGGAAGGCCAATCCTCATGTCTAATTAAGTCGATGTTTTGACGCTCAAACCAGGTTTGAGTGGTCTTGGCTTTGTGTGCAGGCGCAGAGTCCTGTTGGAACACAAAGTGATGTCCCGAAAATAGCGTGCTGGGCAGGTCTTTGACAAACTGGTCCAAAACCGTGTCTTGATACACTTTTGCACTGGTTTTGACCCCCTTTTCGCAAAAATGAACCTCAGTTGGCCCGTAACAGGACACTCCCAACCAGACCATTACTGATGATGGATGATGTCCATGTTGCACCCTCGGAACTTTATTTCCAGCTTCTTCAGAACTCCTAGCGTACACTCTATCATTCTGTTTATTGTACTTCTCTTCAATATCGAAAAATTTTTCGTCCGTAAAGAGGATATCACGGTGTCGGTTTTTCGCGTACCGCTTTAACAAACCCCGCGATCTCTTAAGCCTTATTGCTTTTAGACGAGCATTAAGTAGGTGCCCACTCTTTCTTTTGTATGCCCGTAGACCAAGATCTTCATTTAAAACCTTTTTTACTGTTTTCCTACTGACACCCATCTGCAAAGCCATCAACTTCTGTTTTCGGACAGGATTTCTTGCTATCCGCGCCTTGATAGCTTTGATCACTGCTGGTGTCCTTGCGGAGCGTGGCCGGCCAGTTCTTTTCTTGTCCTCAACACTGGAGACTTCATTGTACCTATCAATAGTACGGTACACAAACCTAAGCGTTATATTTAAATTTTTGAGCAACTTGAAAATGGTACTCGCCGAGTGCCCACAGCGGTGCAACGCAATAACAGCTATTCGGTTTTCTTTCAATGTCCACTCCATCTTGAAAATTTACGGAAAGTGATTGTTTTTTGTTTTAAAACAATAGTCAAACAATCAAAAATAGAATGCAATAATTTTTTTATAAAATCATGTTCGTAATTTAAAAATAATGTGCCAGTGACAGAACTTTGGGACCAACTACGTATAGTTAACTTTACACTATAATAATAAAAGTCTAAACACTAGATAATCACCTCATAACCATATTCATTCCATTTACCCCTTGTTTCATAAAAAAAAAACTGTTCAATCGGGATTTTTTTAATTATATTTTTTTTGTAATTGGGATAATTATATTTTATTTATGGCATTGAACCTGGCATTAATTGTGATTCATGATTCTTATTTTGTTTTTGGTAATTTAATTATCACTTTACCCTCATTTCTTTTTTCCTTATTAGGTTTGGAAGATGTCGTTAGCGAAAAGGCCGCCAGTTTCCCCTTTACTATTTTTTTAATCTGATCTACTATTAATGAGACTAAGGGCTAATTTCACCAAACTCAGATAAGTTTTATTCCAAGGAATTAACCCTGGAATAGCAAATTTTACATTTCACCAACTACTTAACCTGAGAATAAAACGTTATTCCAAGGATAAGATTTATACGCCCAATTTTGAACGAATACGGAGATATTCCTTGGATAAAAATGGCCGCCATGTCATGTCAGCTGTTTTCTATTTATTCTTCGATGTTTCATTTGTGCAAAAAGATTTCGTGTTTTGATTTTCTCCCGTTTTAATATTTCATTTTTTATTTTTATTTCAACTTCAAATTTTTTTTTCCGTCCTCTCTCTCCTCAGCAGCAAAATTCATAGCTTTTATTTTAATTTTATGTAACTCTTCTAAAGTTGAAGAAGTAGGTCTGCGTCTGCTGCTCCAATTTTTCTTTTGAGTGAGAGGGGTATTTCCAGCATCCTCTACAGATATTAAAGCACAGTCATCAATATCCATATCCAAGGCAATAGGCGTCGATTTAGCTGGCTGAACCACAGGCTGAACTGACTGTGCACGCAGAGGAGCAGATTTCTGAGATTGCAGCATCTTTGGGGTGTAGTCTCCCCAATCAGCAGCACAGTCACCTTGTGATTTATCATTATCGCAGGTAAAATTTGCAGCATCAATATCCAAGTCAAGAGGCGTTGACTTGGTCACAGTGGTGTTCGGCACAAATATGCCTGATACATCTGGAATTTTAACTGTAGCCAATGTTTCATTTTCTTTTAATATAAAATTATCGCAATCATATGGATTTTCGAGTCCAACAGCAACTGTTGAAATAAGACCCAAGATCGGGTCGTCAGATTTAGGCTTTGCAGGTCCCCCACCTAAACAAAAAATCAAATATAGTTAAGAATGTCACAGTACCACCATAGGTTTATCATGAAGATGCTTTTAGCTGCGAAAATAAGCATGTAAAATGATAAAATGATTTTACCTGTTTGAATCATGTACTGCCTTGCAGCAGCAGATCTCTTTTTGGTGAATTTTTTTAAGCTTTCCCATTGTGCCTTTAAATTTTCCGCGGTTCTGTGGCTGAAACTGGTTTGCGAATTGAATTCATTGGATATTTTACTCCACTCAGCATTTTTTTCTTTCATGGTTACTGCGTCGGTACGCTTGTTTTCCACTATCTTAAAATGGTCAGTTATCAGGTAGGATTACTGGTACATTTGCCAGTTAGGACTTCTTTTTCTAGCGGTCATTATCATGAACGATATTGTTTCTGTTATTTATTTTCTTCTTTCAAATCAAAACCAAAATAAACACTCAGGCAAAACAAAGCTTCTATGACCTGACCACAGATTACAAAGTAGGTTCCATGACAGCTTCAAACTGACGTATAATCCAACTAAAGTAAAAAGTTCCATTTAACCTTCATGTTCTTTAAAGAAATTGCACATTTAATTTGTTTTCATTATACACTCATTCGTTCGTTCACTCAATATACACTTCCACAGATAAGCATAACGGCTATTCCAAAGAATAGCTAATCTGAGACTAGTTTATCGGATGTTTTACATGGTGAAATGTAAAGTGAGTAGTCTGGGATTAAATTCAAGCGAATATGTTTATCCTTGGTATAGCTATTCTCGGATAACTACGACATTGGTGAAATCAGCCCTAAGTATTAATAAATAAATAAATAATATTACAAGACAGAGCTGTCAGTGTCAAACTACGCATCAATAAGTTGCACGCGAGGAATAATTGATCTTAATTAGCTTGCTCATTGCACGCAATGATGCGGAAATCAACTTAGAAATTCATACGAGATTAATTTTTATGTGTAAATCTTGTTGGATAACGAATTATTAAAGACGATAGAAACATTTATAATATAAAAATGAATCGCAAAAGGTTGGTAAGAGCATAACTCAACAACGCCTGGACCAAGTTGGCCAATTCTTTTTTTATAAAATTCCTTGAAGTGCGAGGATGGTTCTTACGGAGAGAAAAATTAAAAAAAATCGAGTGAAAAAGTCTAAAAACAACACTTTTCTATATTCCCATATAAAAGATTCGTAATAATACTTAAAAGTCAATTTGAACTTTAATACCATACCATAAAGTTTAAGTGTTAGTGGAGGGGTTCCGGGAAGGTACATTTTTATTTTTTGACATAATGTATTTGTTGTCTTATCAACTTTTTTTATCTTACTAGCTAGACCGGTGTCCCGAATAGCAGAATAAGTATTTAAAAAAAATAAAGAATCGACTGTTAGGCGGTACGATGTTCGCCAGGCCAGCTAGTATTTAATAAAATAAAAAGGTTTTATTGCCCCATAGCTTACATGCTAAATATAAAGTAAATATGCCTAAAGTGTATATAATATTTAGTCCCGATCTAAACGTAAAATCTATCGGCAAACGGTTATTTATAATTTTACAGATTATCCTTCGACAAAGGTTTCCTCTAATTTATTCCAATCTTGGCGTTCTCTAGCGGCACATTGGACCCGCTACCTTTTTTATATCAAAATCAAATCAAAAACATTTATTCATATAGGTACCTAACACAATGTACACTTATGAACGCCAAAAAAGAAATACATATTAAATGCTTCTAATTTTCTGCCAGTTCTTAAATCAAGGGCGTAGATCGGAAGACGATAACTGGGAATAAACTCTCCGCCACTCTTTTTAATCGCCAAGTTTTTTGTTTTACACAATGTAACTTACCTGTTTCTCATGCCTCTGTCTCGTCACAGCCGATGCTAAATGGCGACACTGAAGTGGCAACATGGCTGGTGGTCGGGAGATCCTTAATGGAGAAGTCCTCGCACTCCACTCCAAAGAGGATGCAAGCCGCGCGCCCAAAGACGATTCACCAGTTACCACAGAACAGGCGATGTTGCCAGATGTATCTATTACTTGGATGTATTGTGCTTCTGGACCCACCTGGAATAATTTACTATACATTAGAATTAGAATTTATAATTTTGTGTAACTCAAATGAATCAATGAAGAGATGTAGATGAAAAAATATTAATTCGTTATTTAAAAAAAAGGTCGTTGCTCGTGTTGACATACCGAAATGCATCTAATAACAGAAAATAAATCTCGCTGGTCAGAAATTTTGCGCTGATCGCCGAAACTGAAGCCTATTTTGTGGCTAAGGACAAATCGTACTATAAAAATGGTATCGACATTTTTTATGACCGTTATAATCGATGTATGATGTATCGCTCTCGAAGGTAACAAGAATTCTAAATAAAAAAAAATTCTATGTTAGCCTATGTACTTTTCAGCCCACAGATAGTCACAGAATTGGTCCAAAAACATTTTATACATTTTAGGATTGAATGATTATAAAATGCTACAATTAATTTATGTTTACTTTATCACCTTATTCATTGTCGTTAATTTGATATATAGCAGCCGATTAAAATATTCCATAAATTATAGCTGCTTTGTTATCTAAATATCTAATTAAACGTAGCCGAAACAATATCTTGGCTTAATTCCAAAATAATATTTCCATTTAAAATAACGTCAGGATATAACTTTCGTGACCTAAAACTGTCGAGTGCAGCCGTAGGAAATATAAAACGAACCAACAACTCGATATGAAATAGCCAGTACGATCATTGTACCCGGTTTGTTTGTCCATGTATAAGTCAACGTCCGCGCAATATTTCACATGAAAGAATACTTTTCGAATACCTTCTTCGGATAATATGAATACCAAATAAACATGTTACTACAGCCTTTTAGTTCTGGGCCTCAGATTTATATTTCTGTTTCGTGATTATTTTCTAATAGGCAAGGTGTGCCTGAAAAACCGTCAACAATATAATAATAGGCAAGGTGTGCCTGACAAACGCTGTCAACTTTTATAATATTATTATATTGTTGACGGCGTTTGTCAGGCACACCTTGCGTATAAGAATATATTATATAAACCGGGAGTAAGTATAACATATCTATATACCATTAAACGTCGCAGATAATACCGATGCAAGCACTAAGTACTATTAATAAATATTTATAATACACCTAGTATAAGCCCCAAATGAAAGGAACATTATGTCATGTTTGCTTGTTTGACGCGATTCTATAATTTGAGGCTTTTACGATTATGGGTGACTCCTTGAAGCATTTAATATGATAAGCAAAGGGAATTTGTTTTAAGAATATAAAGGTATCAAACAATCTTTATATTCTTTTAATTCCCGTATTGTGTAAGCCCTAGGTCCTGAATGACTCACTACTTATTTAGAATTCATAAGTCGCACTTGCGTGCTTCCGTCGCAACGCATACAGAATTGTATATGGATGACTCAACGATGTGTGATAAATCCAAACGTTTCATAATAACAACAGAAGATCGCCTCTTTAATTCTTTTATCATTTAAGTTCCGTCCTTAAAAAAAAAACGTACCTACCTACTTATGTACACGCGTTAGAAGTTATTCTTCTTAGACTAAACAAGATAAAAATCTTTCATAGAAAAAACGACACTAACATATATATATTAGACTGATTCAAAATAAAATAAAAAATTTTTTTGAGTTAATATATCTAAAAAGCTTCTTTGTTAGACAACAAAAAACCTCCTAAAAAATGATCTTGATATCTTGAAAATTGAGCTGGCGCATGGGAGGGTCCCCTTTCCCATTTAAAATGCATTGAAAAAAAAACTTTTTTTTTATTTTCATTGTAAATCGTCGAAAAAAATTTTTTTTCAAATTACTCTTTTTGATATCTTGTAGGAAATTAAATTCTCTACAAAAAAGGAAAAACGAAAATTATAAAATAAATTTACTAATCAGGTAATAAAAAAAGAATGTTGTTTTATTTAATAGAAAAATTGAAACGCACTTTTTTGACTTTTTATAATTTTAGTTTTTTAAAGCCCTGTAACTTTTTTCCTATGCATTTTATCAAAAAAAATGAAAGGGAACTTTTTTGTAGAGAATTTAATTTCCTACAAGACACTAAAAAGGGAAATTTGAAAAAAAAATACGATTTACAATGAAAATAAAGAAAAAAGTTTTTTTTCAATGCATTTTAAATGGGAAAGGTGACCCCCCCATGCGCCAGCTCAATTTTCAAGATATCAAGCTCATTTTTTAGGAGGTTTTTTTTTGTCTGACAAAGAAGCTTTTTATATGGGTGTTTCTCTGCTATTTGGAAACTCGCCCATACAAGACTGTCCTAAGAAAATTTTGTTAGATGTTGAGAATGTTTGTTAATAAAATTAAAGACAATATTTAAATAAATATATCTCTTAGAAAGGCCCACTGATTTTCGTCCCGGTTTTTGAGTTATCAACGATTTTATCCAAAAACGTGACAGGGGACTGTTGTAAACGCACAAGGGATTGTTTTTATATACGAATTTTAGTATGAAAGTAATCAATTTTAATGCGTAGTTCTTACATATACTAACTTAATATCACAATCAACATTCTTAGTATTTAAAACAATTGTACTATTAAAGTAATTGGCATTAATTTTACAATGTCTTCTATAAAATCAGTCTTAACATGGCATTTCAGGAAACTATCTTAAAAATTATTATTTCTCAAAAACAGAAACGGATATTGGAAAATAATCTTCTCCCTTTTAGAGTAAGATCTGGTTGTGGTAATTTCTGCAGTATTTGGTCAAAACTGATATCAGAAATATCATCTTCATCCATTCTGAACTTGTGGCCTTTATCATCACAAATTTTCATAAAAAATACTGTTAGTTCGCCATCCTCATCGTCTACTACTATTTTTTGACGTTCAAAAGAGCCATTTTAGATGGTCTAAACGAAATAAATGATTTGACTTTGACTTTACTTTATAAATAACAGCAGCATAACGATATTCCGTGTTTCTGCCATTAAACCTAACTAAAACGTAATCACCATTTTTGTAATGCTGTTGGCTGCTTGTACTAGGCCCTGAAGTATTGTCAGAATTAGTAATAAAATTGTCATACGGTCGTGAAATTTCGGTTTCTGGAATAATGTTATTATCCGCGGAGAAATCGGCTGGCCTGGTTTCGTCTTCGGAGTCTGTGTAGTAGACGTCGAGTCGAGTTGATATCCCCTAGGTTAAAATGTTGGCATTCTTCTTCACAGCAGCTTAAACTTTTCATTATAAGTTTTTCAGTGCTTTGTAGTAGTCCCAAACGACATCTTGATATTTTACCCTTATTCTGATGTATTTTAAGAGTGCCATTGAAACCTTTCAGGTACTTGGCATCATTCTGAATATCGTTAGTCATATATTTTATTGCAGCATCGTCAATTGCAAAGATTGTAATAGCAGGACATTTTTGTACAGCATCTATAAATGAATCCAAACTATGTCACCTCCTGTAGCAACAATGCCATCTGCAGTTCTTTTGCATGTAGTGCCAACACCATCTGCGGTCCTCTTTCCACGGCCACTCTCTCTAAAGTACCAGGAAAACGTCTTCATATTTTGGACCTCTACATGAAGCTTTGAAGCTAAAATATAAAACGTCGCTTTGTTTCGATATTGTGTTACTGGTCCGTCGCTCCTCCAAAATAAATGCCAGTAACATGCGTGGGTAAAGTTTTGAAAATAGGTTTTAAATGTTCCCGTTTAAGTGTTCTCATCAAACGTTCTGCTATACGTTTTTTTTCTATTATTTCTTCTCGTGTTTTGGCTGGTTTCTTTTTGGGTGGCATATTGAGATACTTCCTAAGGAAGAGACAATAATACTGTTAACGATTTTGATCATAGATGTGCAAACTGGCATCTCAGACTTGAGAAAACCCACAGAAAACAGTCCCCTGCGTTATAAAACAGTCCTCTGTGCTATGAATTGACAGGGGACTGTCGTCCAGGGTACTGTCATTTTTACCTGTTAGTTTAATAAAACATGATTTTTTACACTTATCACATTCACGAAATAAAATGTGGCTACATACTTTATAATCACTTATATGTAAACAAATATTTGTAATTAAAACTCTTAAAATAGTAAAAAAATGGCTTACCAGTGGACTGTTTTTTGTAACGGCCGAGACTCCTTGTTCACTGAAAGACTTAGTGGTGACACTAAAAAAATGGCGACTGCTCTATGATCTATACACCCAAAAGAACTTCGCACTGATTGCGTTCCGTTTCACTAGGTTAACGTATAGCGCCAATACAAAATTTGACTTAAGTGCGGTTTTGAAATGTTATCAGGGGACTGTTCAAAAATTTTGAGGACAGCATTCACGTATTGATTTTTTACTCAAATTTTTATAGTTAATATATAATTGTGATTTATATAGATGCTTACTGTTTTATTTAAGGTATTTCAATATTTTTTATTCAATTATCAACGACACAAAAAACAAAAATTGGTTCAAGACTTATAATTTGAGAAATGGGACATACCAGGGGACTGTGTTTTGGGGGGGTTTGAGGTTGATTTAATCAGATATTACATTATTAAATTACTAAATAAACTGTGGCGTGTCAAGAATACATAATAATATGTCATTATTCATACAAAAAACGAAGAAATATTTAGAATTATTGTATAAAATTTGCTTAGGACAACGATTTTCCACTTAGTAGAGAAATGCCCATATATATTTGCTAAAAAAAAAATATTTTATTTTGAATCAGTCTAATATATATATATATTTAACGCGCCAAAAGAAGTATAACTTCAAAAAAAACTAAAATGTTGAATTTAGCTAACTTCAGGGTGACGGTTTTTTACTCGCGCACATCGTAAATTTACTCTCATCATTTTTCCCTAACGCGCCAAAAGAAGTATAACTTCAATAAATCTTTTTAATAGTGAACCAGCATTCTACATAATATGTGTAATTAAAACTATCAAAGACTGTAAGATACACGACCTTTCACGAAAAGCCTTTGGCAAAATTATCTCTTTTTTAATGATCTGTTTGTACATACATTAAGCTAAAACGTTTTATGTATTAAATCCAACCCCATAGAGCTCCAGCTTTTCTGCGTGTTCCATTGATAATTCAAGTAGATGATCAAACTTGTAACTCATGAACGACGTTAATTTTTGGGTCAAAAAATGTTTCTTCACAATGTTTTTCTTTACTAGCTTTAATATAAAGATAGAAATTAAGAACTTTCCACATGGAATATACAAATTTAACGCGTACCGAACGACTAAAGAAAAATCAATAGATTTAAGTTTACATTTTCAAACAATAATGGCATTTTGCCAAAACCTCCCGTCTAATAGTCCTATATTTGGCAAGGGTTAACCTTGGAATGCAAAATCGCTAATATATGGTCCTTTGTGTTACTTTACTCTCTTTTCGTTAGCCATACTTAAGTAGAAAACAAATTATTTAAAGAGGTCTATTGAGTATTAGGGTGAGCAATTATTTAATCAATTACCATCTAAAATTCGTAATATTAGCGTGTTTAATCAATTCAAAAGGGCATTAAAGATACATATTAGAATGAGCCTAGTAGATTGAAATTGGGATAGCTGCCCTGCGATTCTGTAACTCACTTTTCGAACTCACACAGCGGTTTTCGCATCGGCGGTCGCTCTGAAATCAGTTGTGAAGCAGTCATTTTATGATTTGGCATTCTGAAAAGGTGGGAGCTTGTAGTTTATTGTTTATCAGAATGACAAATCATAAAATGACTGCTTCACAACTGATTTGAGAGCGACCGCCGATGCGAAAACCGCTGTGTGAGTTCGAAAAGTGAGTTACAGAATCGCAGGGCTGATGGCGACGCGTATCTCGCTCGTATATTATATTAAGTTTCTTATGTAAATAAAAAAAAAATATTTTTTGTAATGAGAAATAAAGTTCTTTAAACATTAAACATTAAGAACGTGAGTAAAATGATTTCTTAATGTAAAATTATTCCACCCGTCGAGGATGTAATTTAACTTTAAGTTACTATTGTGTGAGAGATACGACCTCCAATTATTTATAAGAACTTAGTCCTACCTCATAGGCCGGCTACGCAGCCACTAAAATAGGTGTCTATGGCCTTTTCTATGGATCTCGAAAGGCACCAATTTTCACAAAATATGTACCACAAAAACCAAAGAAACCTTGAACTAGCCTTAACCGTCCCAGTATTTAAAAAACGGAGTGGAAAACCTTTTGATCAGATTATATCGAGGAATCAGATTCTATTACGGTTAATGAGGCAATGAATATGTAGATTAATGCATGTTTGATTTCATTTGAAGCGTGGAAATATAGGTAATTAAGCCAATGGCCAAGTAAACCAACCGCTATGGTTAACAGCTTACTTAGTACATGTTAAAATACATATTTTATGCATTTGTCACCTATTGAATAAGGAGCGAGACATAGTTTTAATTGTGATGTTTTCCTAGAGAAATAGACACAGTTTGTTGTATAGTTTAACAGTAAAGTATTTTTTAATATTATGGTAGGGCCAGCCCACGATGCTAAATGGGGATTTACTCGAGCGTCGTAGAGACCTATTGGGATGCAAAGCTTAGATAATAAGAAGAAAAAAATTTATATGATAAATTCCTTTCATCGGTGGGGAAGCGGCTATAGATAGTTAAATATGTAAAAAAACTGTTCATGGAATCCTCGACGCGTCAGATATTGATAGCATCTATGCCCTACGTATTTTTAATAATGTACGTATGTTAATCTGATCGTTTGCATGATGCGGGTGGTTGTATTTAAGGGTTGAAAATAAAAATTTTTATCGAGCTAGATTTTCTAAGGGAGTGTTAAGTGCACCAAAAAAAGCTCTCATTCCTAATGACGATTTCGATGGACGCAAACCCACACATTTTCATAATTTGCAAAAAAATCGCAATTTTGAATATCAAGTCAGATTAAGTATATTGGTTCATCTTTATGTTCTAAACGTACTGTCTCATAATCTGACGATTATCAGAGGGATTCGCCTATTGAAAAAAATTTAGAAAAAGGTTCACCTAAAGGGCCATCCCTCAACTTCCCGCTAATTCATTCTTGGGCGCTTAAAATTGATATTTTGAGCTCGCATGAGTTCAAAGAAATAAATTTCTATGCATTTGAGCTCTCCCAGCTCGAAAGTCTGATAGAAGTTTCATAGACCTATTTTTGGAATTTTCAAACGCAATAACATTTGAATGGATCAAGCAATTTTCACGCGGTTGGCGGATTCGACGCAGTTTATCATCCTCATAAGTAATTTTGCAATTTTAATTGATCGAACCACAATCTTCGGAGTAATCCCGAATAAACACTTTTTCGGGTTTCTTTCGTTCACGATATCTCTCAACGAATCAAGCTTTTGACCAGCTTAGTGGCGATCAACGTGGTTTTTCAAGCTCAAAGGCGGATTAGTTTTTGAAGTTGATCGATAAAGAAACCACTTTAAAAAAAAAATTTCTTAATTTTTAAGATTTTTCAAAATTTCTCAAAATCTATCGTTTCGAATCGGTTCAAATTCACAGGAAATGTAATTTTGAGGGAAATATTTAGAACGCCGTTTAGTAGATTCCGATCGGTTTAAGGAAATGTAGGCATCACGCAGCTGCACGCATTTAACTTTATCGACGAATTTTTGTTATTTCGGCTTGCGGAAATCGTCAGATTATATATTTTTCATTATTCTTGAATTATTTCCTTCAAAAAAAAAAAAAATTAGCTACGCCTCGAGAATGTCGAGATGACGTTTTTTTCAACTTTGCTTGCCCCCCCCTTTTTTCCGTCACTCTCAAATTGACAGATTAGTGGAATATACACTTTTAGGATGTAATTAACTCACCCTACCTTAATCTGATGCGCTCGGGAATTTCTGATGGTCAATTTTTTTACTAATCTGATCCTGTCTCCTTCACAGGCGGCCTTATATATGGACCTCATGTTTTGTGGAGGTACTTAACCGAGTACAAGCTATCCCCCTGTATATTAATCTGCGCGCTTTAGTAAATCCGAAACCCCTTCCCCTACCATTATCTTTTTATAAGTGAGATTCAGAAACGAGACTTAGAGCGAACTATGAGACCCGTATGTCAAAATCCAATTAATTTTTGACAGAAGTCAAACTCTCACCTTAAGAGAGACGTGATCATGCTTCTTAAGTTGGAATTTTTCATAAATATGCATTATAAGTTAATACTAAAATCTAATATATAAAATTCTTAGCGTGTGTTTGTAGTTAAACTCCTCCGAAACGGCTTGACTGATTCTCATGAAATTTTGTGTGCATATTGGGTATGTCTGAGAATCAGACAACATCTATTTTTCATCCCCCTAAATGTTAAGGGTGGACTACCCCTAAATAATTGCTTTTTTTATTTTTATTTTTTTATGATACAGCATTAAAAAATACATACAACCCCTAATTTTTACCCCTCTACGATCAACTCCTTTTTTTATAATTGATATACATGCCAAAACGACGTTTGCCGGATCAGCTAGTCATCAATCCCGCTAAGATAAGTTATCTTGGAAGCTGTCGAAGTAGCTAGGGACTACGTATTTTAATGAGAGATGCTTATAAGTTATTTGTTTTTAATAATTAATGCTTAGCACGAAATTATAGTTAAATATTTATAATTAGTTATGTTAGCTATATCTACTAATATTACAAAGAAGAAAGTTTTATTTTGCAACCACTTAGGTAACTCAAAAAACTCGGCATGAATTTCAAAAATTCGTTTACCTTAAGAACATAGTCTATATATATATTTCTAGTTAATATACTAGACCTTAAAAGGTATTTATTAAACATATGCCTTTTAACCGGGAAAACTATCAATTTAAACATATTTTTAAATCAGTAAAATCATTATTTAAAAACCTCTAAGAGTGTGCCTAGAGGCACTCTACCATAACTATGTAGAAAATATAATGTTACACCTTAATTGGTTTATTATGTGACCACTTATTCAATATCCAATACTAATATTTAACCTCAATATATTTTGCACTCATAAAGTTGTTTTTCATATTATTTATCGACTAGAAGTGCATTGACATTACCCTTACCCTTCCGATAACGTGGTATTTTAAAACAATAACGATAAAAGCGACAATTATAGGAATTTTACAGACTTTTACTTTACTTTCCGCAATTATATTAGACAATATGATTATGACCTACTTTCTAATTCAAATCGAGATATATGGTATAAGATACGCAGATGATTTAAGTTTTTGTTGGATATAATCTGTAGACAATGTAATAAAAATTAAGTTGGCAACACTACCTTTCAAGGTGGCTTCTTTTCTATTAATTTTAGTAAAATGTACTTCTAATTAAACTACAAGTCCATAAATATATTACCTTTTTATTTATATAACAACAGTTTTAGTTTAAGCACTCCTGAGGAATATTTAGCTATATGATTATGGTTTTATGTAAATTTATTGTTCTTGTATGCAAAAAATTTCGCCAAAATACTCGCGGGATAATCTGCTTGCGGAAGTTATATTATAAAATAAATATTACACAGTCTTTTGTAATCTAGATATGTATAAGCCTACGTAACACATAAAGCTATTATTCCTATTATGTAATCGATGCTAGTTGAATACAAAGTATTAAAAATTTAAATAATATCTTACGCTAAGACTTACCGCTATTGCATCTAACTCGTTATGAGGTAATCTGCATATCATATCGTATTCAGTTCCGCCGGGATTTACGCTCGCTACATACAGTGCATAGTCCGTTATGAATACTAGTAGAGGAGTCCAAGATCCATCGTCCATGTTGTATGGTGATTGCACCCTCATCATCTAAAGAAACATGAAAACTGTACTGACTGAGAATCATCGTCGTTTAAAAAAGGGATGCATAATAATAATAATTCTTTATTTTCTCCTATATTACATTTGAAACAAACAGTACGATTACAATTAAGAAGGTTTTGGGAGACTGGTTTCCAATCTAGGTAAGAACCTGTGATATGGATAACCAGGCTTCCATTCCACAGCAAAGTCATACTGAGTCATAATAAAAAAGTACATAATATATAAGTAGGCAACAAAAATTAAAGTTTCTAAAAAAGGAATAATAAAAACTAATCAAAACAGTCATCTAGAATCCTAGAGTTGTATGAGTGTATGTGTGTGAGTGTGTGTGTGTGTGTGTGTGTGTGTGTGAGTGAGTGTGTGTGAGTGATGTGTGTGAGGTGTGTGTGTGTGTGTGTGAGTGTGTGTGTGTGAGTGAGAGTGTGAAAGTGAGTATTTGGGAGGGTGTGTTGGGTTGTTATCAGGCACACGCTTGAGACCATGATATGTGGAAATTATTTTAATACATCTAGCAGATATTCCGTTTGGTCATAGTTCAAAGTAAGTAAAAATTTATAGACTATTTACTTTACACATTTTTTAATTTTATTCAGAGTTTTGTTTGTGCATGCAGCATGATTGGGAATAGCATATACTTTAAATTATTTGCGATCGAAGCCAAGATACAATGAATCAATAAATAATTGCGTAAATTGGAAAATAAGTTTTGTAATCTTACCCTATTCAAGGTTTCATTGGGATGCGAGAAAATTTGCAACCTTAGTTTCTCATTGCATTCAATGGCAACGTTGTCTTCGAAGCTGTCGAAGTATGAAGGCTCGTCGGCCGTGAGCAGTCGCACAGAAAGCCTTTTGTTTTCAATCACCTCCTTGTCAATAAGACGGGACATCCGCTCGGCGGACGCACGGAACGTTTCCGATACCATCCTCGACGGATACACAATACATGGGAAATGCTTTTCAAGCCTTAGCTTCGTCTGATAGAATTTATTATTACGTATCTTTAATTCAAGGTCTTTTTTTTGGCAAACATTTTTCAAGTATCTGTTTAGTAGAGCGGACTTGTTAGTCTGAAACTTTTGACTTGGACTGTCGAAAAATTCGTCATTGAAGTCATCCGCGCCCTTCAAGGTTGAATTATCCGTGTTAGAGCCATTATCGTTAATGAGTTGCTGGGTTTCGTCACTCTTCTGTAAGGTTGAGGCCAATTTACGACTGTACCTGTTAACATTTTGCTTTTTTGGCGACGACAAGTGTTTCGAAACACCATTCTTTTGCTCTGTCTCGTCTAGAACATTTTTATTGTATTGACGTTTGGGTGTTGATGCCCTGCTTGAGTTGTCACCATCTCTTTGATTAAAATCTGATTTGCTTGAGCTCGAAATTAATTCCTTCACTGGAGTAGATTCTGGTATTGGTACAAAGGTTTCCTTTGGGGCTTCAAAGGCAGTTTGGAATGTATCATGTACATAGCTATATGATACTCCTTTATGTTCATAAACAGTACTTTCACAGTTCACAACATACTTGCTTAGTGGTGGTAGAATATCAGTCAAAGATTTTTTATCATTTTGAGCCTGCATATTTAAAGTAAGTTTGTGCCTTGGAGATCCCTCCGGAGTTCTTTCATTGCGGACAGGATTTTTTGGTGTTGCTATATCTTTTTGTTTCTCTACATCAGCTGACTGTGAATTCAAGTTTATTTCTACAAAATCATCTTCATCATCAATTTGAAATCCAGAGTCTAGACTTTTTGAAAGCTTTCTATTTTGGTTAACATCACATGGTAGAGCTTCTATGACATTGTTTAATTCAAAACAATTTTCCGGTAATCCACTTTCAGGTGCAAAATTAAAGTTAAAATTTTTATAGAAATTTTTTAATGAATCAATGATGTTATTAGTATCCAATAGATTTAATACTTTATTGTTTCCCTTTGTTTCTTCAACAACATTAGTGGTGATGTATCTTTTCTTTTTAAGAACAGATTTTACATTGATGGGGCTCTGCGGTACCTCTAAAGGTTTTTTTCTGCAATCATGAGATTGGTCAATGTCAGCTTCAGAGAAATAAGTTTTTCTCATGAAAGCTATATGAGCATTATTTTCAAATTCATCACAAGAGTATGATTTTTGGGTTTTTTCACATTTTCTATTACTGACTGGGGTTTCTGTTTTGTTGGAGTTTGAAGATGAAGATTCACTGCTTGAGGATTCAGAATCACAGCTGAAATTGGAGTCTGAACTATTTGAATCACAGCCATATAACTTTCCATTTGGCCTAGTTTCATTATTGTTGTCCTTGTCCTTGTTATTATTATCTGTATTGTTGTTTTCTTGATTGCTCTTTCGAAAGTCTTGGCAGTACTCAAATATGCCACTGCGGTCATGTTTACTATCTCCATATGTGAGGATGTCTGACATAGTTTGTTGTGCAACATCTGCAGCATACTTTGGAGCTCTGTCACCAGATGCCCAAGAGAACCTATCACTCACATTATTCCTTTGCCTAAATCTATCACAGTATGCACTATCAGGGCCATATGAAACAAATCCACGTTCAATGTGTATATTATCAGTTTTGGTATTATTCAGAATATCTTCATGGAAGGACACCCTTTTCTTTTGGGAACTAGGGCCACTTTGTGACTTTTTTCTACACCTTCTTCTGTACACAATATCTTCTGATTGAGATTTTTTTGGTTCACTTGTTCTGAGAGCTGATTTTTTTACTTCTTCAGTTGAAACTTTTTCACTTTCTAAAGCCTTAAGTACAACATCTGGTAGATTTTCATAGCAGGGTTTTTTATTAGTTTCAACAAGGAGTTCTGGTACAATATCGTCATTTGCCCCACTATTTTGATTATCAATATCACTTCGAGTCATTATACTACTACTCGTACTTTTAATCATATCCTGTGACCCTGACGGGGCTGCATCATAAATACTGTCACACGTGAGTTCCTCTGTCCCGATTAGGCTATGAGACATAAGAGCCTGACTCGTCGCTTCCGAAGTATCACTATCCAAACATTGCACCCCGGAATCACCAGGAGTATCAGCCAAACTACTTGTTGTGCTAGATATCAGATGGGAACTTGCTTGAAGTTGTAATTCCGTAGGCTTACCCGTCTTGTCATTTAAAATTTCCATTTTTGCAAAACGTACTGTATCCTCAGCAGCATTTAATAATCCTGTTGCAATAATATCGTCATTTTTTTGGCGACGTTTGATTTTATCGATCTCTTTACCTGTAGCCCTTTCGACAGACATTTTCAATAAATTACGCACGTATTGCAGTAAATAGATTTTCATGAAATTTATTACGTTACTGGTTTATTTATTAATATTGCACACATTTTGGTTGAAGTCACACAAAAATCGCGTAAAAAGATTTTCATAATAAGACAAACACAGTTCAGCCATTTGTATTTTGAAAACTTTGACTACTGAATCTTTGACTTTGACACATTCATTTAATAATTCACCAGAATTGTCAAATTTATGGGATAGAACGGGAATGAACACATCTGTCAAAAAATAAATTGTAATCTGACTGATCACTGACTTGATAGTTGAAGTTGATATTTCAATTTTCAATATTCATTCAAACTTCTTACTTCAAGTTTCAAATCTATCGGTTTAATTTGTTTGAGGTTATCGCAAGTTTATGATTTTGTTATTGTATTTAACTACAGTAATATTATCTAATATCCACATGTAACCCATGGTGTAAAACATGGATATTCAATTAAAGACTTTTTCGTTTTTACTTATTATTATTGCTAGTGCATTTGTTTGTAAAAGTGCTAAAATAAACACTCCACGAGTGTTACTACCATGGTTTGAGGATCATTTGGTTGATTTTACCTTCGAAATAATAGAAGGAGGGTGCTACACTTGGTAAGTAAACTATACTTCAATTGTGTCTGCCTTTTAAGTTAGTTCAACATGTAGAAAGTTACAATTGTTTAATTCTAGGAGTTTGTCACGCGACGACATCATTGATTTAGAAGCTTTATACGACGATGCTTGGGGTCACTGCTCCCGCAGTGCCCGAGTATCTGTATCTAAGACCTGCGTGCCTCCTGGATCAGTCATAATTCTAGCTGAGGAAGTGGCAACCGGCGAGGTAAACTGTCCTAAACATTTTGGCGCGAACTTCATTATCACGTCTGAACTCTGAACTGTAAGTTGTTAACTTTCTGTTGTAGATATTACGAGGTGATGTTGATATTGACAAAATAACATCACTTAAAGTGATGAGTACAACCTGGAAATTATATTTGGAAGAGGCACCTGAGGCATTTGAAGTTTTTGCTTATGATGATTCTGGTAGGTTTTAGATATATAACTTTTTTTTGTTCTTAATTTTATACTACATTTTTTAATAATAAAAAGATAAATTTGTATAAATGTGAGGATAACTTATATTAATGTGTAAGCATTATTTCATTTTAGGCAATAAGTTTTCAACTTTAGAAGGAATCAGAATAACATGGACAGTGGAAAATGTTGGCAGTACCTATGGAGATGAACCTTTAGTAAGGTAAAATACTGTACTATTCTTTTAGTGTATATATAAATTATATTCAATTTAATAAGTAAAAGTTACTATGACCAAATATATAAGTAAATATCCAAACTTTCAAAGTAATATTATTTTTATATTTTAGGCTTGTTAGGTGGAGTGACACAGATTATGAAGCACCAAAAGGTGTAACAGAGCTGGAATCTAAAAACTTGCAAGGCTACTCAGTTTTACTCTACGGTCAAGCAATGGGAGATGCAAGAGTAACAGTCTGTCTTGATGAAATTTGTACAATATTTAATTTACAGGTTGTGGCTAGTGTTGTACTTACTCCTGCCACAGCCTATGTAGCTCCTGGGGATGCATTAAAATACAGGTACTAATTTAAAGTACCCTATATACTAATAATGTTTGGACAAAGTGGATGGTTGCTAAAAGTATGTCTTAAGTGGGGTTTACACGGGTGACTACAGCCGCACGATTTTTGCCGTGCGGCTAAACTCGACCGTCTAAATGACAATTCGGTTAGGTCGCAAGTGACTAAAGCCGCAAGCCCCAAAGTTGGGTAGCATCCGACTTTTGCGGTGCGGCGTACCGGCCGCATGCGACTGGTGACTAAAGTCGACCGTGTAAACGATCAGCTGCAGGCGATCGCCTGCTGTTTTCCGCGCACCTTGTTCTACGTACAAATCGTTAACCATGAATAAAATAATACAATCCAGTTTATATATTCAATTTTTTTTTTGTTTTTTTATTCTTGCAGCAATTTTTGAATAATTGATTGACTAACTATTTCGATTCCGGCCATTCTGCTCAACATTTTGCAAGAAAATGACCGAGCTGCATGCAATTTTAGTCACCTGTGTAAATAGGCAAGCAATGCGTCTTGATGAGGCGATTTTTGAAGCGACTAGCCACACGGCAAAAATCTACCCATGTAAATCCCCCCTTATTCACAAGTTACATTGCTTTATCTTCTCATTAGATCAAAACTTATACTTGAAGTTGCCTACAACAGTTTAGGTGAATATAGTAATATTATAATATGAAAAGAGTATTGTCTTTTATTAACATAACTTTAACACATTTAAAGACAACACTTTTTTTTAATATGAAAATAGTTTATTATTATATATATAATATGTGTTTCTTGTATTTCTTAGTTAGGTTTTTTAGGATGAAAAAACCTAACTAAGAAATCTATGTAACAGAGATTAGGTAGAATTTTAAATTGTTGAACAAGGAGATACAAAACTTAAATTAATTTTCAGAGTTGTCAGAGCCAGAGCTGGTCGTCTAACTGTTCAAGATGTTGCTGAGACTTTGTACACTATGACAATATCAGAATCATCCATTGCATATCTTGAAGACTCCATAAGTCTTGTGAGAGCTACAGAGTTAGGAACTACACCAATTTTCCTAATGTCTGGGTCGACTGAAGTTACAACTGCATTGTTAACTGTGACTGAACCTCATAGTATCAAAGTTAATATTCGGCCAGCAAATTTAATTATACAAGGAGAAGAATTCGTTATTCACTGTATTCTCTATGATTCAAATGGACATGCTATAACTGCGGGACAGGATATTTTGATAAGACTGACAGTTGATGGCGCAGCTGATGTAGATTTATTGAGGTCTACTGAAAATGGTACGATAACTGATGCAATCGCTTTAAAGCCTGGCAGGTTTATGGTGTCTGCCAAATTGTTTTCTGTTGCTGGAAGAGGATTGCCAAAACCTGTAAGTTTGAGCAAGATTATATTCTACTTTATGCAAGGTAATTCTTTTTGTTTAAAGTGTCACAATGGGGATTTATGGATAACATCGTAACAAATAGTCACACATTTCTTCTATTTTAAATTTTCTCATTCTCATTGCAACTAAATGTAAAATTAGAAGCATTAATATTATGTATTTCTTTGCTGACAAGTCATAATTGTACAATGTGTTACCCATATGATTAAATGATTTTTTTGAATAACCTTTGAATGCCTAAATCCTAAATAATATTTACCAGGAAATCAAATCTACAATGTAAATTAAAAATGTTGAAGTTGGACTATTACAGGTGGAAGGCCAAGCATCAGCTGTCGCAGTTCGCCCCTTACAAATAGTGCCACCAGAATTGTTTGTTGCCTGGACTGATTCTATTCAGTAAGTTAATTTTTTAGAAATGAAATATATTAAGTGTAATCTCTATATAACGACACTCAAGGGAATGTGCCTATTTCGACGTTACAAAGATTTACTGTTAAATAAAAAGAAAAATCTGTTTTAGAAAAAGAAAGTATATTTCAGACTAGTTAGTAATTAAATAAAAAACAATTCGTATTTGAACGCTATTGCGTTGTCTGTTATATATGTACTGCACGAGTAGTTAGGTTATTTTTTTTATTTTTTTTATTCATATTTTGCGATATTGAGGTATCTTCGTGATAAAGCACAGCAAGCGGAATTTGTAAGAAAAAGTACGGATTTCTTGGAAAGTTCGGTATGCATGATGAGTACCGACAGTCGAGTTTATTTCTGGCTAGGTCAATAAAGCCACAAAACAACGTACACAGCTCCGCAGTTTTAACTAATTTCGGCAATTTAAAAAGTACTTCTTAGTATTTAATTGTTGTCGTTATTGAGGGTGGCTGTAATGCTATGTAGAGTGTATAATTGTCTGGAAGACAAGCTAAACCAGTGATTCCCAAAGTGGCCTATATCGACCCCTAGGGGTCTATGACAACCTGCAAGGGGTCTATGTCAGCGAAAAAAAATTTGGGGGTCCATGAAATGAAAATGGGGGTCCACGATAGTGGATCTTAACACATACACTGATAGTACCTATTTACTTACAATACTATCTTATAATATCAAAACATATACATTATTGATAAAAGTATCTATGAAGTAAAAAAAATATTATATCTTAATATATATATTTCTTGTGTGCGTGTGTATGTGACTGAACTTCTCTCAAACGACTGGACCGATTTTGATGAAATATTTTGTGTGTGTTCAAGGGGATCTGGGAATGGTTTAGATTCACTAATCAGCCCGGCAGATGGCACTGCAGTCGGTACTTTCATACTTTGCTTAATATCCTAATCGCTTTAAATATCATGCAGGACAACGTCTGTGGGGTCCACTAGTATGTTTATAAAATTGTGTAAGTTGTAGGATGTTGGTACAGTTAGAAATTTACAGGAAATCAATATCAGGTAAGTAGGGGGTCTACCCAACACGGAAAAACATGGCAAGGGGTCTACGACACAAAAAAGTTTGGGGAACTTTGAGCTAAACGAACCCAAGCCGAGTGATTTCGATGCTTTAGGGGATTTGTCGTTAAATCGAAGGACGTTACATGGATTTTAAACTGTACATACTTAGTAAAAGTATTGGTTATATTAAAACAATATCATTGTATATAGGGTTGTGTATTTATAATACTCTCTTGAAACATATTCCTTTTAAAGATATATTTTCTTCCAGTGATTTTTTTTGATAAATCACCCAGTAAATATTGTGCATAGACCATTTTTGTATTAACTTTTTTTTCAGGGACATTCAACTGAAGCATCGTGGTGGTGGGAATGAGTCGGTCTCTTGGTCAGAGGGAGAAAAAGACCAGAGTGCTTTATCCCTTTCAAACAATGGATTATTGACAGTTCACGGAGTGGGACAGCTAAATGTTGGCGTGCATTTGACACAATATTCTTACATACGAGCTAGCGGGAGGTAATATATTTAT